ATACGGCTGGGTCTAGCAGCGGCATGACTGGGTTTGCTGGGACTGGCGGCATTGGAAATGGCATTATCTGAGGTTGTAAGCGTGGAGACCGGCATGGTCCTGATGTTAGCCGCTGAGGACCCCCGCTCACGTCACGTCACGTAACGGCATCAGTTTATCGCCTCGCATTTCCGTCAGCCGAGTCATCCTGTCCTCTGTTTGACGGGCATCAATGCATGACAACTATTGGGAATCGTGTAGCCGCGAACGACCAGAAGCGGCCGCATGGGGCGCGCTGGCAGCAGTGGAATCAAACGGGTCGATGTTATTCGACGAATAATGCGAGAGGCACCGCGGTGTGTCGACTACTTCCTCGAACGGAAAGTATGCCTTTTCATATGACCGTTTGATGTTTCGGATAACAATGCCTCTCTCAAGGCATATGAGGCATTTCTGACAAACAACATGGCAACACTGCAAAATTGGCTTCTTGGAACAGCCCCATCGAGTAACTCGCTTTGATTGGAACTCGTCGAGTCTCCGCGTGATTACTCATCGAGAAACAGAGCCGGTTCGATGCGCGGGGGTCGTAATTCGCCGAAGTCTCCGGCTGACCAGACCCGGGCATTCGTCAGACACACAAACACCGTGTGTGTGGGAGGGGGGGGGGGTTCCCGGTAGCGGTGGCCGGTGACCCGCCCGTGGGGGGCCCTGCGGTGTCCCACACCTGCGCCCCGTTCCAGGAAATGGCCGACAGCGGTGACGTGTCCGATAACATACTACCAGGAACGGCGGCGACGGACCGCGCGGCGCGCTCGGGCGCTCGATCCCCAGGACAAGTGTTGTTAGGCACTGAATGGATCGCTGTCGAAGTCGATTTACATTCTTGAAAGCCATGGCTCAGATGTACAAAATGTTTGGTCATTGATCAGAGGCATAGGCGTGTAGATATGAGGTAGGAATGGAATGAGCAAATTTCTCAGATTTTCAGGCGACATTCTCACTGCCCGTTTTGAACAGGAAAATACCAAACTTTAGCAATAATCGCACTAAAATCCTTATCACACTGGTCAGAGAAGGAATATACAAAATAAAAAAGGAAATAAATATATACCTATCCTTCTGCTTTCAAGGAATTCACACTTCAACATGCTTATTATAGGGTAGCCTGGGGCAAGACGCCCCAGATAATTTATTTTGCTACATAACTTTTGTCCCACATCACCTGGAAGGCCAAATTTGTGCTCAATGCGTTCTTTGGACATTTTACTTTAAATTCCACCCCTCAAATTCATTCACTTATGATCGGACTCCCAGCTAGGAAGTGATTTGTGAAGCAACTGCAAATGGGGCATTTTGCCCCAACCCCAGGGCAAAACGCCCCACGGCCTGGGGCAAGACGCCCCATACTCTAGATTAAAGATTGAACATGCTAGTTGACTAAATCTTATATGAGAGGCCCTTTAGACCTTGGGAGGCACGGCACTGAAGTTAGCACCTTCCATCCTGTCAGGTGTTCAGCTATGACACTATTGTATGTACAGGTTTTTCACCTGCCTCATAAGGCCAAATAATAAATTATTGCAATGCAAATGTTAACACAATACTTCCTTTGTCATTACTTTGCTGAGAAATGTACATAAAATTGCATAGAAACTTACTGTTCGCCAGCAACCGAACATTAGGAAGTGGGTAGTCGGAACAACACATGAGGTAAAACGCCCCATGGGGCTTTTTGCCCCGCGACCTACTGGGGCGTTTTACCCCATCACGTAGTTTGGTCAGAGAACAACGCCTTGCACTCCAGCAAGGCATAATTTAAAACGGACCAACCCAGCATTATAAGCGTTAGACAATAGTTGTTCAAAATACATAAAAGTCGATAACCTGATGTGAACCATAAAAGAACGCTATGATGCATAATCTGACTACAAAACATAAAAATCACTCCAAAAACAAATTTTTGGCTATATCTCCCTAAAGAGTTATCAAAATATCTTTCCAGTCTGCTCATATAATGATCATATAGTGCACGTTTTAAAGAAGAGAGAATGTTTCCCCAGAACCTTGCCAGTTCCGAGAAACATCGGTGAGGCGTTTTACCTCGGCGGGGCGACTTGCCCCGGTCTACCCTACCTATTTTGGGTCTTTTTCGATTCTGTTTTGTCCTTGCACTCATTTATTTGCACGATCATAATGTTTCTTATCATACGCCTAATTTTATCCCTTTTAATAGGCCCGGAAGTCATACTGCTCGATAACAATTAATCAGACTTAGTGTCAACAATGACTACAACATTGAAGTGGTAGATGGGATGACGATTGTCGTGAACGGTTAACTGGCAGTAATGGAAATTCATTATGAAATCTATTCAATAATGGAAAGCCGACCTTCTTGTCATTGCCGGTAACAAGCCGGTAATTACTTTTGCAACGCATTTCTGGACATGCCTAACGGTCGGACATTGATTACTTTGAGCTATTTATGCTCAGCGAAATGAAATTTTCGGTTTTCCCGCTAAACTTTACGTTTTTTTTTTTGTCTTGTTCGATTGGATACCATTTTCAGGCTACCGTTTAATTTTTACGTTATTTATGGGGTTACGTGTAGATTGTGTAACCCAAGGTCACTCGCCAGTCGTGCACGTTTTAGATGGGCTTTCGTCTGGTATTGTTTTCCAAAACGGCTATTGGGATCCAGCTAGGTAACCTTGAAATGGTGTTCGCCAATCGTTGGCGATTCTTTAGCTGGATGAGAGTTGCAGTATCTAAGTCTGCAAAGGTTTATATAAACCGTGTTGTATAAAACTGCAGGGCGTGTAGACGCATAAAGCTTTGCCGTGAGCATGTGCATTGTGCAATGATCATCCCTTTTAATAAAAAACACTAATAACGGTATATTTAAACATCTTGTTCCGATGACGGAGCTAAAAAATGCCAAAACAATGCGGATAAGATTCTGCTATTGACTGGCGCCATCCGGCTCGTCGTATTTTCTGCTCTGGACCAGCATCATAAGACGGCCCACCGACCGGCGTTATAGGACGGCTCAGCGCTGTGCTGCCGTTATTAGTCAGGGGCGTCGGCTAAAACGCGGACAAAAACTGACAAAACGACGGGGACCGGCTGCTGGAGCCGCCGCCGGCTGCCGGCTCTATAAGACGCCTTTGTGATCCGCCGTCTGACGTGTACGGGGCAGGAGGGGAGGGTGGCGCTGGGAAGGCCAAGAGGCACGAGTGTCAGTGACAGGAGCTCAGAGAGACGGGTAGCAGCGGCAGGGAACTGGAGAGGCTGGTTTTAGCTGCTTTAACTTTTTATCATTAAAGAACCCAAGGAGCATTGAGTTCACAAAATAGTCACGGATGTCTTCCAGATTAAAACTTATCTAAATACTTTTTGTGCCTATGTTTAAATAGCAAAGCTCTTTTCAATGGCCTTGTCTTGCAACAGGGGATGCTTACGAACAAAGAACGGCGAGAGTTTTTATGTCCTTCTTGCTGAGGAGGATGTGATCTTTGTAAACTAAGGCTCCCGCTCGGCCGTCTCTCGTCGCCGGCTGCATATGTACTTTCAAACAGCTAACTACATACAGGGTGTCCCAGAATTACCCGGACATTTATTTTCTGGCTAAAAGTACGACTGCGCTCGCTTCTAATGATATACAAGCATCATACTTTTATAAGATATCCCTTAGCTATCGAGATTGGGGACTGTGTGCTTTTGGTGGCCGGTAACGACTCGAATCAATTATTATCCCGAGTCAAGTAAGAGTAGTCCTTTTCCGTCTTCAGCTTAAGCCACTAATAGGCAACCATGGTGAATCAACTCCCGTTCTCAACTTTGTAAGCGAACTTTCGGCATGGTTTTTGCTGGAGAGCTTCAGCAGCTCATCTGCAAGCAGTTAGGATTGAGCAAAGCGCAATTATATCAGCTAACGAAGCCAGAGAGAGCAAGAGATAAACCTGATTGACAAGTTTGGGCTCGGCCAAAAAGGGCCATGCACCAGTTGTCAAACAAGTGGTTGCTTGTCATAGGCAACAAACGTCACCGATCTAGCTAAAAACTAGCTAAACAATAGATCAGGATTATCTACAAAACATCAGTCTTCTTTGCACCACTATCTTCGACAAAATTTTGGAATTTGGGGTCCTTCGCCAGAAAAATATGCGAAAACTACGGGAAAAGCAGCGCAAATCACTACAATTCATCCCAAAAACATAACATATATAACAAAACAGTATATTGAGGCACACTTTGTGGTCTAACGAAGGTATTGTCATTTGAAACGCCCGAAAAAGGCTTGTGTGAACGTCAGATGGCTACAACGCCCCAACAGCAGAGACGGCCAGGCACCCGTCTAAAATCAAATTGTGAGACATTTTGAGCCACCGTGCACTCATTGGGCTTGATATGATGGCCCAAAGACAACCGTTAGCACAGGGTACTACTGCGGTAATATTCTACCAGTGCGAAAACTGGATGCCGTGAGCCAAATGGCCATGAACGGGTTTGTTTTGGAAACCAAATCTGTTGGAAGCCAAAGGTTGCGCAATGTTCAGACATGGAGCTTCTCCACTCCAGATGTAAAAAACGCAGCAAAAGTGGCGTAGGCAGAAATTTTTGTTTTGGGGGATAATACCTTATTGCCTGGGAACACTTTGATGTCAAGTTTATCTTATATGATCGTATTATCCTCCGGCAAGAGGTCAAAGAAAACAGGCCTACACCCAGTTTCGGGAGACCCGTAAAACAACTGAAACCAGCAATGGCTGGCATTTTCCATCATTGTCGGCTGATCTTGTAACAAGCGTATCTATTGCATGTGCTATTTCACAGCCACCCTAGTTGACTATATAGGACGGTAAAAAGAAAAAAGCGCAATCATGTTTGCCTTATTTTATACGCTAATTAACAATGTCCGGGTAATTATGGGACACCCTGTACATGCCGTTGCCGGATGTTATTTCATCATTATCATAAGACATCACCATCATCCATTCTGACGTGCTTTTCCTTTCCAGGTGTGCATCAACGCGTGGTTCTGGTCGGGCGTCTTCCATGCCAAGGACAGCAAGATCACAGAGAAGCTGGACTATTTCTGCGCCTTCTCTATGGTGCTGTTCTCGTTCTACTCGGCCTGCATTCGGTGAGCGCTGATGAAAGCCTATTCACCAATCACAGACCGCCACTGGGATGGCGGTGACACCGCTGCTGTTGCTACGAGGATATCTGGAGCGCATGAGTGTATTTGTGTGTGTTCTTAAAAGGCGACGAGCTGGCCATAAAAGTTACTGGTAAACGATTGATTTTATAGTTTTTTCAATATCCTTTTCGTGCATTTTGTGGAAATCGACGTCCCAGGTCATCCAAGGTCAGGTCAGGTAGCAACACTTAATGTCCAAAACATAGTGTCGCTCCGACTAGCCCAGGCACCGCCAGCCGTCGCTCGGCCCAAATCGTCCTGCACTGGCGCGCCGCCGCTGACGTCACGAATTCGATCGGCTCAGCGAGTCGTGTAAAACGTGTATGGTGGCCCGGCCGACGGCCTACGGGTGTCCCCGACGACTACCCTATGAAGCCGACCGACCGTCCTATGAAACTCCCCAACGACTTGTTATATACGTCATGTGGACTCGGACATATTCCAACCTTGTTCCTGCTGCCCGTCTTACGGACCACTTCCCACTTCCTGCTGCCCCTTCGATCGCTTTTATGAAGAAGATCCATTCCAGTGCAGTTATCATCAATAACTATTAGCTAAGCAGCTGTTCTGGGAACATGAAATGATCTCATTGAAGATGGGCGCCATGTTCATGACATTCTGTCATATATTTAGTAAGCGAGTAGGACGCACTCAGCAGAAGTGACTAATTTTGTGGTTATTTTCAGGTTTTCGGGTCCGCAGCTATCCTGCACCACAATATCAGTGACGGTTCTCTGCATTGGCTTCATGGCCTACCACATCATGTACCTGCTGCTGGTCAAGTTCGACTACGGATACAACATGAAGGCCAACATCATTGTTGGTGAGTGCACTGTGATCAGGGGTACCGACCATGCACCTATGGCAGCACCCGTCCAAAGTTTCACAGTCGTACTGCATCTTCTTTACACTAAATAAACTTAGGTCGGCACGACCTGTCGTCTATGAGTTTATAATCAAATCCAATTAAGTAGTGTGAGTTAAGATTACACTGATTAACTGCCGTTGCCCCGAACCCCTCGGTAAACGATTCTTCTCTAAAGTCATATCGTAAAGCGTTGGCTGTCGAGTGTCGGTTTATTCCAGTTGAAACCGACCGGACGTGGCTGCTCTTGAGGTCAGGCGCCTCTATATGTTTTTTTTTTTGTCGTGTTATGTTTGTCATGCCATGTTTGTTTGTCACACAGGCGCGGTGGACGTGGTGATATGGCTGGTGTGGTGCGCCCAGCAGCGGTCGCGCTGCACCTACGTGTGGAAGTGCGCGCTGACGGTGATCCTGGTATCGGTGACGATACTGCTGGAGACGGCCGACTTCCCGCCGCTGGGCTGGGTGCTGGACGCACACGCCTTCTGGCACCTGAGCACCTTCCCCCTGCCGCTGCTCTGGTACAGGTGAGAGAACCCCGGTTACTGGTTCTATAGCACACGTGGAAGTGGTCCGTCTCTGTCACTGCTTGGTGTAGTTCGTTCCTAAAACGCCTTCAGGCAGTGATATTTTTTTTTTTTTAAGAAATTTTGTCCGAATGGTTGAATGGGTGGCTTTGGGCCCGAGTGCCCCGCTAAGCAGTGTTGCGAATGACACCACGGACCCACCACCCGACCTCGCCCGCGCCCGGTTCACCGGTGATAATTTGAATGGAAAGTTGAACGTACCGCATGTATACCTAGGTCTGGATGAATCCACGACCCAGTACTCACCCCGCAAAATCGTGCGATAGGTTGTGTGTAGCTCAGCGATCAGTGAGAAGCGCTGAGCACAAAAAAAAATGGAAATCACCGTTTAGTCCATCGTAACGGCTTCCCATTGTTCGACATAGGCTGCTGGTACAAACCTGTAACACTGTTTCTCTTCTTCAGCTTCCTCATCGACGACTGCCAGTACCTGCTGAGTCAGAAGAAACTCAAGAAGGCCGTATGATATTCGGTGTACTTTATCCGGCCAAAAGTACATCCGATGAGAGAACAGCCGGCCCCTCGTGGGTTCACAGCCAGCGTGCAGTTGCCGCCGCCGCCGCCAGGCGGCAGTGCGGTGCCGAGTCTGCCAGCCAAGCCTTGGTTCAGCTCGGTGAGCGGCTGTGCGCTGACGCCGGGCCGGACTGGGTCGGACTGGATCCTGAACCACACCGTCATCAGTATGCCGTCAGAGTGCGGCGCCAGATGACCGGTGTCCCAGCATTCTGAGAGGCCGTGTCGAACTGGCGCCGGACTGAGAGCCGGAGACGACGACCGGACTCGGTAACGGCCGCCTCTGTGGCGTTTTGTAACGTTTGTACCTCGGAGCAGCTGTCTTTCTGAGCTTCTTAGTTGAGTTTCGAGCAGTCGAATGTGTCGATGTAGTGGCAGCTCATCAGCTTTTGACGCCAGCAGATCGTCTGTACTGTGTACAACAGCGGCGCTCCAGCGCTGCCTATTCTCTCTGTGCCTCTGTTTTCTGTTGCCAGCGCCTTTTTCTCACGCGCACAGAGCAGGAAGTGATTTTGGAATGTCTTTCTAGTGGAGTAGCTTTGGTGACGAGTGTCGTGTAAATATTGTTTGTGCGGGACAGGCGCCTCAGGCGGGACGAAGCTGTGGCCGATTTTATACTCATGGGGTGCGGCGGCGAGTGGCGACTATCCTCGCCAGCACAGCACTGCAGAGACGCACAGCGCGTGCGATACCCGCCCGCCGCCGGCCGCACACTGACAGATTGATATTTTATACGGGCACCGGCCGGCCGACCCCGTTTTCCGGGGACTCCTTTTATACAAGAGACTTTGGCTAGCTGCGGACAGCGCCAGCGATTTGTGACAATTTCTGAGACGGCTCTCGCCTGGCATAACCGTGGAGAGGATTGGTGCAAAGTGTTTGCATTATGGTCGACCTACCTCGCAGCCCGACTCGGGCTTACTTGCTTTGCTGTCAGTATTTCTGAAGGGAGCTACCCCCAACTACATAGTGTGGTAAGTGTGTATCCCCCTTATCGAACGGTGCAGTTCGCATGAGTGTTTGAACTATGTGTAACTTGCATTGTATGTGTGAACTTGTACTGAACGATGTAGGCATTGTGAATGACACCTACGAAAAGCGGTGGGCTAGGTGCCCTCCATGACAATGATATGAACAAATCGTACCCACAGTCTAAGAAGCTTAGTAAAAAGCAATCGTTAAACGCATTCGTAATTTTGAGAAATTGACTAGGCTTGCGAATGTGTTGTGAAACCGAACGAATATTTGCAGTGCTAATTGCAAACGGTCGAACCAGAAGCCTCCCAACACCTGCCACTAGGAGCATAAGGCAAGCCAATATTTGATTGCTCGGAATAAGCCAACGATTTCCGGATGCGTGCCGACTCCTTCCTCTCTGCTACGAGAATATCAATGCCACATCTGCACTTCATTTGCGTTCCTTTTCTACCATAACATTCGGAATTCGTCTAACTCGTTTCATTTCAATATTACCATATTTTCAAATACGACATAAGTTACCCACATGTTTTACATTGAGACGATGACACGAACTAGTTAACTAGCATATCAATTTGTAACGAATTAATTGATCGTGATAGATAATGACGCCCGTGGATGGATAATCAACAATAATAATATTAAAATGCCAATGCTGTGTTGCATGGCATGGTTTATGATTTATATTGAAAGTCCAGTGAATACCTGTATTTAATATCGTATACGTAAAATGATCTCGATCAATAGACCGCTCCATGTTTGAATATCTATTTGTAGGTATGCTAATTGGTCTCACGGCTATGAAGATGAAAACTTCGTTTCGCCCATAAAAACAAAATGTTTTGACAAGCTAACTATACCTATCCAGCCATGCAGATGTATGCGAGATACCTTTATATGTTATGCTTACGACGAAGGCAACAATGTACTTAAATGACTGAACGCATAGACATGCATCCGCTGTTTTGCCCATTGGCTGAACGCTGTGCGTTTTACTTTATTGCTACCGTGTGTGACCTGACTGCCGGTTATGTTCATTGAGTGCACCAAATTGAAGAGGTGTCGCGATGGTTTCGTCCAGGATCGAAAGGGATACAACCCATAAATCGGGCACAGATTGAAGCCAACATGACTGTGAGTGGACATTAAATACGTCAGCGCAAAATGTGTCATTTTCTATTGGATATTTGTAAGAACAGGCTGTTGGTGTCTGAATGTACTTGTACTCCCTGTTTGAATACATGATGTCCTGTGTTCAATTACACATATTGTTTATGCATAACTTACCATCAGCCGAAACGAAGAAATTGGCACCACCAACCGTCTCGCGGAACTGTGACGCAGTCGTTCAGCCAAACCATACACGCACAAACTATAGGTAAAAAGACCTCTAAACAATTTCAAAATATGCAGACGAAGCTGTTCAAAATCTTGTACCCTCCGCTGCTCTATTTACTCTCTTACCTAACAGCTATAGCCTATAACGAAGCGGCACCTGCGATGCAGAAGCCTCAAGCCTTGCGGTACAGTCTACCTTCAGGCGCTCAACTACTAGTGACATCTAGCGGCGAGATTTTTGTTAACGGCGCGACCGCCTCTCTCGGTCCCGTTTCACGGTGTTTATCGACTGATACGGTGCATTCCCTAGAAGATCGGCATTTAGACTTGGCACAGAGATTTCACTGGCTGATAACAGCACAGTTAATCGGCTCCGTTCGGAAATAGCACCGAATTGGCAGGTAAAACCCTTAGCCAAGGCTGAGCTCCGTCGCGAAAACAGGCTCATAATTCAAACACGGCACCACGCTCCTGGGTCCCCGGTCTACCGGGCCACCTAGCAGCGCCGTCGCCTGACAACAATGGAAAGAACCTAGCCCTTGTTGTATTGCCTCAATGGGACGCTGACGTTTCCAACAGTTGACGTCACACGGTGTGACTAAAGATCTTACAAAGGTCAGCCGCCGCCCACCAGCTTCCCAACCAGTCAATGATTTCGCCACAGACCACGGTTACTGATGATGATTGTGTTTTTCTTTAGGCTTGGAGACCTCGATGGCGACGTGTGAGAGATATAAGGTGCTTGAAAAAATACGCAATTGTCTGACGTACGAACACAGTATGTATTGACAATAGACGAATGGTAACACATTTCAGCTGCACACGGACAGCACATAGAACATTGAACACCTTACAGAAACTGCAGTTTACAGACACCAGCTGCCAGTATCCCAATGAGTTTCTCCTCGATACACGGAAGCACGCGTTTGGCATTTTTATATACGATTACGAAACAAGCGGCAGTGGCCACAGAGGTCAGAAAATGAAGAAGACGATTTGATACAGATTCGAGACTAGCTGCACAATGCAGACTGATAACTCGAGACCTTATAGTGATCTCATTTCACAACAGCACCCAAATGCCGATGTGAATTCAGTGTATCCCTCCACGGCAGACAAGATAGTGGCAGTGAAAAGAAGACATGGCTCATGCCATTCTTTTCTCCAAGACGAGTGAGGTCACTTCTTATATCATTCGTGCATCAGGGCTGCGGAGTCGGAGTCGGAGTCACTAATAATCTATCGACACCGCAGCCCTGGTGCATATTTTCAATGGATAACGGTCGCACGGTCTTGAGTAATGAATAATTGTAAAGAAGAAAATACACAGACTCCTATTGCATTGCATTCAAAACTCACAAACATGACGTTGCCCACGGACAGTTTTTTTTTTAACTTGGGAAACGGCATTTGATCCTACAGATGCGGTCATCGATCTAAAAAAAAATCCAGATGCGATTGCTACATGTTGTCAATAACCATTCAAAAACACCATACTGGTATTTGGCGACGTGCAATGTAAGGTTTAGATAAATTTTCGTTACTGATGTAAACACAATACACAAACATGTTACAATACAAATGTTCCGTCATGGCAGGCTAGGAAAAACACTGGGTGACATCCCACTATTCGTATAGGAACTCTCCGGATGTTCCTGGTAGGCACAGATTAGCCACCTGAAAACAAAAATACTGTCTCAGTTCGGCTATACATGCACACAAGGGAAAATAGGGCCACATTTGGCATTAACCTGAAAGCGAGGTCTGAGCCCAAAGCAAGGAGCCCGCCAAATGGAGATCAGCATCTTCGTTTGGGCGTGGGGTTCGAACTCAAAGGGCAAGACATATAAGACAAAGGGCGTGGTCAATTGATGCAATAAGCAATCCGTTGAGATGGATTTGATTTTTACGTCTCGCTGTAAATAAAAACGTTAAAAACATGTGAACTCATGCTTGATGGGGTTGATTTTATCAACTTTGGTAGGGTTGATTCTATCACTTCCCTGGACGAAGACGACTAGCTGAAACTCAATTCATTTCATTATTTCTGAGTGCTATTCAATACATTTATCGGTCCACTTTTGGTATTCGACCCTAGTTCTACGGTGCAGACCACGAATCCTGATCAACCTCTAGATGGTTTTGCCAAATAGTATGCTGTGCCGCATGTAATCCCGTATGTAATTATAGTAATACGTTTCATCTGTCCCCGATTCAGCTGCAGGGCTATGTACGAGTACCAATAAAACAACTTTATCGCACACAACAGACACAACTTCACTTAGAATTTCTTCCGCGAGAGCGCCTTAAAACAAGCTGGCACTGTGCGTCACTCATCCACTCATCATGGTATTTCATCCCATCTTTTTAGTAAGACGGAGGCATTCGTGATCCGTTTGCTCTAATCAGATAATTTCCTCGAACGATTAGGGTTAAGTAGCCATCATACAAATTATAGACAGAAGATTAATAGCAAAATTGAAAAGCTATGGACATTCAGGGAAAAATGAACACGCTCATTCCCGAAATGAAAGAAGCGAATAAATTGTTTTGAACTTTCTTCAAATGGTGATTCGTTTAGGCAGGCAAACATTTAGGTGAGAACTGCTAGCTCGACAGCAATATGCAGCATTATGTCTCACCTGCTAAAACGTTTCCGATGATTTCGCTCCCGACATTTCAATATCGATGTTGGTAAGACGACCTTTTACGACATAGGAGATTGTTCAGCAACGTTCTCACGTCTAATATAATATCATTTGACACAAGAGATCCCATGGGGAACAAATACATACAAGGACTAGCCTAAGCCATTCGGTTTTTCATATCTTCCTTGGATCACAGAGACGAGTACTCCTCAAATTTGTATATACAGGAGAACGCTTCTCCTCCCAATCTTTTTTCCTAATGCTTAGCATCTCAAATACTCTCACCACACGACCAAGGGAAAATGGGTTGGATTGAACAGTTAAACATTAATTTCGTCTAATGGCAACCACAGACCAAGCGGGCCGGACCGGGCAGGGTAGGGCAGGTGACCTAGTGACAGGAAAACGACCGGAGACAATGGAAAGAAATAACATCCACGCCAGGGTTCCGAAATCGAGTCCCTGGGCGAGCCTTTAAAGGGTAAGGCGCGGCGGTGGTGTATTTATAGCCCGCAGAGAGGGGTCTTTTAAATACATACATTTTACCTTGTATTTTAAATCTTCTTCAGCCTCAAACAATCACAGCATACCAATAATTATGGAGTATTTTAACACCACAAAATCCATATTTCCACTGCATTGAACGTACACTTAACATTCAGGGTACCAAAGGATGTTATACTTTTAAATGCAAGCTTATCAACCAACACCGTTGAAATTTCTTTCCCAAATAAGTAAGAATGGTTTTTGAATTGAATAGTTTCACATTTGCGTGTAGAACACATTATAAGCTCAGATCCTATAATACAATCCTATTCAGAGCTATCGTATTAAAAACAGCAGCCGCGTCTAGCCGAGTAAGGCAGATCCCCCGCAGCTCGGCTAGCGCCGGCCGGGCGGCGACGCCTCTCGGCTCTCCACGCCCGTGGCCTGGCCGGCCGGCTGGAGACCCGGGGAGGGCGTCGGGCGCGGGCCCACCTGGTTGTGCTGGCGCGGCCGCTGGCTGGGCGCCACCCAGTCGCCGTAGCGCACGATCACAGGGTCGACGGCCACCTCCACCTCCTCCACGAGGATGTGGGGCAGTCGCGCCGGCGGCCGCGGCGGCGCCTGCCGGTGACGGCGCGCCTCGCCGGCCGCCGGCAGGCTGGGCCGCCGCTGTCGGGGCGGCGGGCCCGGCGGACCCGGGGGCGGCGAGCAGCGGCCCAGCAGGCGGCGGAACTTGGCGCCGCACCAGCCGGCCGCGCCGTCGGCAGTCGCCAGCTCCGGCTCGCTGGTGTACCGCTTCAGGCCGCCGCCGGCGCCGGGGGCGGCCGGGGTGTCTCGAGCGAGCAGATAGGACTCGACGAGCCGAGCGCAGGCACGCCGGCCGCAGTAGTAGGACCACTCGATACAGGTGAGGCCCCGGGTGGGGTCGCGGATCAGCGGGTCGGCACCTGTTGGGGGCGCAGAGATCAGACACGTGCTGGCACGAGAGATCACAGCGCAGCGTCACATGCAGCATATCACCGAAATTGTTGATGGTTGATAAGTGCAGCAACTATTAATGAAAACAAGTCACGAAAAACGGCAAACATGTAAGCTCATTCAGACTTGATCCAATATCTACTGGCATGTTTGATGTGCAAAAATTTATTGTATGCGCGGATATGTTCCATGTCATTTTCTGTTTGGTCTGGCACCTCAACACTTGGCTGGCTATTGAAGACATGAACACTCGCTGGCGACCACACCTTCTCCTCAGACAACTGGCCCCCAATCGAGCCAAAACGGCGGGTAACAGCGACCAGAGCCGGCGGCGCCACGTGCCGTCTGTCCAGTGCGGCCACCCATCTACTGTTGGCCGGTGGCCAGTTTTAGATGGGCGACCGCCTGGACCCATCACTTACCGTGCGATAGCAGCAGCTTGGCGCACTTGCTCTTGCCCTGGACGCAGGCCTTGATGAGAGGAGTGATGCCCTTGCCGTTTTTGGCGTCCACCTCGATTTCTGTGTAGTTTTCGAGCAGAGCGGAGACAACGGCGGCGTGCCCTGAAATATAACATCGGAACGGGTATAATTCGTTAGCGTGGAGCGAACGACGGGCACAAACAAACAAATTGCATGCACAAACAAACAAATGCACGGCTGCACAACATGGATCATTTGGTGCAATCCTGACAAAGTTCACGAAAATTATGGTTATCAATCAATTAACAATACACGACTATTGAAATTTATAGCGACAAATAGGTTGACCATTTATCAGTGCAAGAGCGTATACCGAATACGAGTAAATAAAACTTTTCCGAGGTTAATACGGCGCACGTTTTCGTACATGCTACTCAGATTGCCATCGTTATTAAAAGCATCGAGGCATCCAGCTAGCTGGAAGTACTGAATCCATCAACTGATTGGTCGTGGAGACCGTCCGTAAGAGTTTTTCAGTTAATGCGAATGTAGGTATATCTATTCGGCGTCAGTCCGTACCGGCCTGCGCGGCGTGGTGGAGCGGCGTGTTGCCGTCCCTGTCCGCCAGGTTAGCGTCCACAAACGGCAGCCGGGAGAACTCCTCCACACACCGGCCGTTACCGTGGACACACAGGTGACTCAGTGCAGTCTGAAACGGAGGGACAATACGGCTTAATACGAGATAATACAAAAACGAAAGACGATAACACACGTTACCGTGGGCACACATGTGACTCAGAGCAGTCTAACAACAGCGGGGCATCTACTTCATCGGAGATCATATAAAAAAAAAAACAGCAAAGATGACACATGGGCCATTACCGTGAATAAACAGGTGACTCATAGCAGTCTGAAACGGAGGGACGTCCTCCATACCGACTTCAGCGAGATCATATAAGAATGACGAACAAAGATGATACATCGGCCATTACCGTGAACACACAGGTGACTCAGCGCAGTCTAAAACGACGGCGAAACGCTTTATGTGAGATCACATAAAAAACAACAAAGATGACACATCGGCTATTGCCGTGAATACACAGGTGACTCATAGCAGTCTAAAAAAGACCGAAAGACTATATCCGAGATCAAGATATAAAGGACATTAAAGGGACCCTCCCACCTTAACATTAGTTTTGAGTTGAGATAGCCAAGTTTGCGGCCAGGCTCAGAAACCACCATTTATCCTGGTCGCAACCCCCGCAGCTTTATGGTGTTCAAGAAATTTCTTCCCTTTACTTGCAGGGTGGGACCAGCGTGGTCCCTATCTCTTAACCATTACGGGAATCTGATGACGTCATCAGGCTTTCGAACGTCCGTTAAATGTTTGACTAAAACGTTTTGTAGCACGCGGTGGTATATGCTGCTTTGCGCGCAACAAATGCCGCACTTTCAAATAAAGTCGCTAGGAACAGCGGAGATCCCAAAAAGTAAACAAAAGTAAAAGTCTAATATCTTGAAAACCGGTGAATATTTTTCGATGAAATTTGGTAGATATTCGTTTTTGCTCTTTCTGAACCGAGCGACATCATTTTCATGCCAATTCATTAACTTTTTTGAAGGTGGGAGGGTCCCTCACGGCGGAAGTGTCTGTACGTGGAATAATTATACTTAAAACAATATATCTAGTTTTCATATGAAAATTATGCTTAAATAATAAAACGGTGAAAACATGAAGGCCGTCTATCGAGAACAGTTTGCTAAAATTTCGACCGACCGCACTGCACTGCACTAGCCCTACGTGAGTGAACGCGATACATTTTCCCACGATTCCCCCGCAGATTCAGTCGCTGCTGACCCGTAACTGACCCGTCCGCTGGCGTCCGTCTGGTTGACGGTGGCCGCCGTGGCGATCCGCGCCGCCACCAGCATCACCTCTCTGAACCGGGCCTCGTTCAGCCGGATGCACACCTCCAGAAACTGATCGTGCAGGCTGCTCAGAGTCATCAGCTCCCTGGAACGTACGAAAACACTGCTGAATTGATAGCGACGGATAGGGAGCCAAATTACATCCACTTTACTCGCCCCCCACAAATAATTAATAAAATGAAATAGAATTAAAGTTAATTTTATTTTAACGCTGGATAGATTTGATTTCAATATATTTGCGTCGATTAGGTCAAGCTTATTCAGATCCACTTAGAGCACCTGTTTGCTGACTTTATTTTATATCTTTAACATTTGTCGTCAGTGACGTCACTTAACAAAAGTGGAAAAATTTGCCAATACTAATAAAAATATTCTAGAGCGGCCATCTGACAATGCCGGTGGCCGTTACCGTTTTTCTAATTGGTTCAGGGGTTCACCCACCTGGGTTTCTGCGTCTGCTGGGTGATCACCATCCGACGCCGGAGCGGTGCCATTCCGAGCTGGGGACCACGCGCCGACCGCTCGGCGTCAACACGCACCAGTCGGTCGCCCACCTCCGGTGACGAGGCCGTGCGGCGAATCCGGCGCTGTCGGCGCGCCACCATTGCTGGCGTCTCGACATCGGCGCCCTCGGCCGGCGGCGGACGGTGCCTCTGACGCGCCGGGGCTGTCACGGCAGCCGTCTCATCAGGAGCGTCCGTGGCAGTCACCTCCGCTCGGGCCGGCCGATCGGGTTCGATAAAAGACACGGTCCTCAGTTGTACGGGGTGCTCTTGAACCTCTGCCACCGGCTGCAGCGTTCTGGAGCGACGGATTGACGGCTGGACTCTGGGCTTAGGCGAGGCGGAAACCGTGACCGCAACGCTGGGAGGAGGTATCTCCATAGCGGCAGACTCGATGTTAGTCGGAGAATCATGGCTAACTTCTGGGGCAGGTTCACCCGGGGCTGATGGGGTGTCTTTGGGAAGAGCTTCCTGCATGGCCATGGCGACCTGATCTTCAGCCGTCTTGCAAGCCACAGCTTCATGAAGCGATGGTACGCTTTCTTCTGTCTGTAGTGGATGGTGTTTAAAATCACTTGCTTCATCTATACTTGAATGAAACAGGCTTGATTGCATATCACTTACAGTAGTCAGGTCAGAATTTGACGAGTCGGTTAGGTCGGAATCTGAGGACGAGGTCTCGGTGTCGCTGGAAGAAGTCTCTGAGCAAACTGAAGACGAATCGGACTCAGTAGATTCGAGAGCGTCACTGTCCATTGGTAGTGAACGTTGTAGGCATGGAGACTTGGCCTGATAATCTTGCGAGTCCGTCCCTACTTCGGTAGCAGGGATCGTAGACTCTGTGTCTGTGATCGACGAGGCGTCACTCTGAACAGAAGGGGTAGTCCCAATATCCAGCGGTGTTGTGGAATCGAGACTTGTCAGTGACGAAGGCATGTCGCCGAATGATGTGACATTGGTCAAAGAATCGGTTTCAATGTCGCCTTCCTTAGTCTCTTGGGTGGATTCAATTACAAGAGTTGGTGGCGCACAATCCACAGCGGAAGGTGTCACCTCAGACGGGGCCACAGCTGACACAGGGACGCAGTCCATCGGTATGGGTTCTGACCGCGAAGAGCTGGGCACACGATCACTCACACCAGACGAGTCGCCCGAAGGCGCCGTCCCGCAGGACGTCTGCTCAGAGTCCCAGGCCACGTCCGTACTCTGTGACTCAGAGGTGCTCTCACACGATGACGTTGAGCTGCTCCGAGTAATTGGCGACTCAGAGGCAGTAGAGTCGACTGATGTTGACGACTCTGTCGCTGTTGATGACTCACGATAATCTGAGGCTGAGCTTGTAGGTGATAGAGCTGCTTTGCCGTGCTCCGGAATATCCTTGGAAGTCATCATGATATTAGAGTCACTTTCATTTGTCAGTGACATTACTTGATTTTCTGGTGGTTCTTGTGGCTGATTTTCCGGTTCGGATTTCATCGGTTGAGGAGATTCACAGCCAGAGGCTGCACTGACTGGCTCCGCCTCCTCGTGCTCACCGGAAGTCGCGCTAGACGACTCAACAGATATCGATTCCGAATAACTAAGTTGATCACTCTGTGAAGTATTGCTTGTTGAGGTTCCGGAAGACATTATCTCTGACGAAACCTGATGATCGGACATGGACAAGTTGCATGAGGAAGTGTTGGTCTCTCCGCTCTCAACTTTGGTGGTCCCGGAATCGTCGATATTCTTTACATCGATACTAGGTTTAACAGTTAGCACGTCACTGTTGTCTGCTGCGCCACACATGATTTGAGGAGTGTCAAAGCTATTCTGCTCAGTATCGGTTACTTCTGACGCTGCAACGTCTTCCTCTAATGCATTTCCGACCTGCTGATGATCTTCCAAATGTTCCAGCTGCTGTTGGTCGGCCGCTTCGTGAGTATTTTCCGAATCCAGTGAGATTCCCGCACTCCGATCGGGCGGTTCCAAGCCTTCCGGCGTCTGTGATGGGCATCGGTTCGCATCAGTAGAACCGTCTTCCGACTCCAGCGACATATCCCCACTCCGATCGCGCGCCTCCAAACCTTTGGACGTCTCCGATGGACATATTCTGTCCGCACCACTGGAGCCGTCTTCCGACTCGCCTGACGTCGAGGAGCTCCTTAGGACCGGACACTCAGCTGGCTGTGCGAGGTTTAACTGCTCTTCTGCTGGTGTCGCACACTCCTCCACAGGTTCAGTCACCTTATCTACGCTAAACGTTTGGATAGTCTCCTCCGTGGTCGGTATCAGCTCTGTCGCTGCGGCGGTCGGGCTTTGTGCGTCGTCCTCGTCCTTTGTCGGTTCAGGTGGCTGTGTAGTCGCAGCAGTGCAGCTGTTGATAACTGACTTGTGCCGGGGAGGCCGTACGGGAGTGTCCTCAGCCTGCTCCGTCTGCTGGGAGCTACTGTCATTTGCTGGTTCAGCGAACTTATGTGGAGGGCCACACTCATCTGACGCCGACACTATAATTCCTTCATCTCGACTGGAAACCGTACGTGACTGCTGCTCAAGCTTTACCGACTCGCTATCTGCCGGAGTTTCACACTTTTTAGACGAGATGACTTCCTCCGTGACGCGTATACAACTCTTACTCGCAACAGATTCGTCTTGGGTTGCTGGTGTGTCATCAGAAGCCGCTGATGACTGAGCTGAATTGAAAGGAGGATCCTTCTGCTGTATTCTAATGTCTTCACACTTCTCTACATTGGGGGGTTCTTCTAGGCACACATCTTCATTCCCCGACTGAGGGTCAATGGCTGTGGGAGTGTCCAGCGAGTCCGATGTCGACCTTTCGGCAATCTCTGATGACACTTTTGCACTGTCATCTACATCCTTGACACTATTCTCCCGTTCATTCAGTTCACTAGTGGTAGTTCTGACGGCTTCGTCATCCTTATGGCTCGTGCAGAGGGAAGGATGCGCCTCGGGCGTCTCTTTACTACGTTCCTCGGCTAGGACGACCGGTTCCTTCTTAATCTTGTTACCGGTCCGCCGAGGCGGGGCCACCGGTGGCTCAGACTCCGGTTGTCGTGTCCCCCGCACTTCTTCAGCTGATGTAACCACGACAGTCGTCACGCCGTCTGCCGCTGGTCGCTCCGACTCCCCAGTCTGTCTGACGCTGTCCGGGGACTCAATGACAGACCCCTCCGCTGATACGGACTCCGAGTCCGTGCCCGCTGTCTGATGCCGCCGGGTGGCACTCGCCGCGTCCCCAGGAGCCAGCATCCCGCCGACCCTCTCTGTGGACAGCCGCCTGCCGCGGCGGACCTGCAGATCCCCCACCGAGGCGACAGTGGAAGAGCGTGCCAGGCCACTGGAGCCGCCCGCCGCCCAGCTGTGCCGGTTCTGACGGTACCGTGCCGACAGCGGGTCAGCAGCCCGCCGGATGACGTCATAGTTGGTGAGCCCCAGCGGCGTGTCGTTACGGGAGTACACCTGGTACCTGGAGATAAACAGAGTCGGGCTGTCACTGGGAGATATGGGGCCTTGGCTGAGAGTAGTTTCAGAGGGGAGGGGATGGTGAATGGGTGTCAATTTAGTGGCGCTAGAAAATAACAGTGGGAGAACGCCTTTGCTGAACGGGGCTTAGGTGTGCTACCGAGGCCGATACTACTAACAGGGCCTATGGGGCTGTTGCCATTGACACTGGGCACACAATCTGTGGAGTAATCATATAGTCAGAAATCGCCCGTAAAGCAGTCACGAATACTGCGGGATCTGTGGTCGGTACTTTTGCCAGGTCCTCTAGAACATGCGGTAATGATGCATGGTCGGCGATATTGTCGATATTTAACACAGTCACAGACCAGAAGTTGGTAATTCTGCCTTGGCTTTACCAGGAAGTCGCTAATAATGCTCGGCTATTATAGGACAGTCGGTAATTCTAGTGACTTTATACGGAAAAGTCGGCAATACTGCTAGCTATGACCGCTAGGCTCTTATAGGACGGGTTGGTTCTGCCGGGCTCTTACAAGACAGTGGGTAATTTAGCCGGGCAGCTCTGACGCAGTTTGCTCCAGGAACTACAGTCTAGCCGCCGCTGACGTCAGACGGAGTGGTTTTGGCAGCCGGCTGAAATCACGGAGCTGTCAGGTACAGCATACATAGGCGTCGACAGGGTCTGTTCAAAGGAGCCAGCCGGGAGCCCGGGTCTGTTGGCTGTCTGGCGGCTACTACAGGGAAGATGGCGGTCAGCGAACTATGAACTTCGAACTTCGACTAAGCAGTCCCTCGTAGGTACAGGAGCAAGTGTTGATAACCTTGGCAGGAGTCGAACAACGAAAATCATGATGAACGAAAACACAAACTAGGTAGGAAACATAAATATGAGCTGGCACTTCAAACGAAAAGATGATGCAAATGTTTTGTTAAAGCAATACGGAAGGCGGGTAGCCGCGTCCGGTACGGGGTACCTATACACAGGGCCGGCCAAGATTTCTTTACTACTGTTGGCGTCCGACGCCCATCTGGGGCCACGCTGTCTGGGACCGTTACTGACCTTCGGGGCACTCAGACACCCGAATGTGGTTGACATCGCGACTCACCTGGGACACTCAGCGTATTACTGACACCTACCTACAGTGCACTCCCGACACCCACATGTGGGGCACTCAGTGCGAGACTGACACCCACCTACAGGGCACTCTGACACTCACGTGCAGGGCACTCCGACACCCACAGGGCACTCCTGAGTCCCTGACACTCACCTTCGGGGCACTCCGGAGCTGCTGACGAGCCGTGTAGTACTGGCCAGGTGGTGGGATGACGCCGGGCTCAGGTCGTAACGGCTCAGCGAGGAGCCATACGTTCCCAGCGGCGGACAGGGCGCCGAGGATACGTAGAATCCGCCGGCGGAGCGGCGGTACCCGCTCATCGCTCCGCCGTTAAAGCCGTCCTCTGGAGAGTCTGAAACAGGGACGCTGTTAGGACGGGAGCCGTCAGGGTGCCACTGGCAGAGGAACACGCGGAGAGTGTCTGAGAGATGAAAATAGAGCAAAACAAAGATAGCCTCTTTAGAAAACTGAGCTTGTCACGGCACCTGGTTGCTGGCCATTACGTCTAAAACGACCTCCCCCTGAGCTTCCAAACGGCCTACAACATATAACGCGATTCCCGGTATTGCCATAACCCCACATCTCCTGGCTATGGCTATGAAGAGGTCGTCTGTGCTCCAGCTGGCACGGACGGCCTCCTGGCTGCCCCAGCTGGGCGCTCGGTAAAAGTCGGCCGGCAGCGGCCAGCTGGCAGCCGCCGACCGGCCGCTAAAATGGCCGCCGATGACGGCTGCAAAACAGGCCGACCGTGAAGAATGGGTGACGTCAGCGCGAGGCAGCACGCAGCCACCACCGGACGGCAGACGAAACGGCGCCGGGGAGTGAAACGATATACACCGAAATACACGGGCATACTGGCATCGATAGGCATACGAGTTCCTTCTACACATGCGGACGTTAATACATGTGCATAAGCGGCCGACATGAATTATAGCATTTACATCTATACCCAGGCATCCGTGTTATCCGTTAGACCAAAACCCAATATGAGGTCAAACTTTTAAGTTGATCTTTCAAAGTGATTTCATTCCTATACCATTCATGCGCTGCGCATAGATAAGACGACATAAATGCAACAAAAATCTGCCGTTCGCGCGTTCCGTCGTTTCCATCCTCAGGACAGTAAAATCTGTCTCCACGACGTTCGCCCCCTAATCCGGGCTGGACGGTTAGCTACATGCGATGTGAGTAGCTCCTCAGGACCAGGATCAACTGCCGTAGGTAGACCGTTTGCAGGGGCTGGTCGGCCAGTCTTCTGTGACAGGCTCAGGCCCATCTCGGGCCCGGCAACTCACCAGGGTGGCAGTACAGACCGATGTCTCCCCCTTATTCCTAGCATCCTTTCGGATCTGAAAAGGCATCGTTAGACCAAAAGAGCCTAACCCTGCAAGACAAAACAGCAATAAAAAACAAATTGATGACCCCATGAATGTTTCGCAGAAAGCAAAACAAACACAAGTTATCATCTATTATGATGGCACAAAGGAACGTTACCTGCCGAACGTTTATTTTCGCTGTGTTCCACGATTTCTGTTTATTTCACGATATGAAATCACTTTGGTTAAGAAATGCCAAAAGCCAGTAAACTCTGACATCCAGTCAGCTGTGATAAGGTGACCTAGAAAATAACAATTCCCATATGTAACGATTTTTAACGGGCTTTTAAACATGGATTGTGATCATTACCCGTTGCCCATGTTCTCACTAGACCTCAACCGTGCAGAGCCGCTCACCCCGAATCTTTATCTCTTACCAGAACCAGGACTTAGTGCGTTGACACTCACATATTAACGACACTGTCACTGTCACTCTCACGAGACCTCCATCGTGCAGTGTCGACCCTACCAGACCACTATTCCACACAATACCACCCTCACACTCTCGTTCCCTCTTTCATCGCTAACCTGTTCTCACGGCGGCGTCTCCTCTATATCCACCGCCGCGTCCCAGCACACCTCTCCACCCACTGGTCGGTCGGAGCGGCCGGTGCAGTCCGAAATAAGCCCTGACGCCGGCGGCTGGCAGGTCGCCCGGTCGGAGGATGACGCCACGGCTGCCGTCGGGTCCGCCGACGAGCCGTGACCCCGGCCAGGAGCGGCGACTGAGAAGCACCGGGGCCGTCAGGAGACGGAACGGGGGGGGGGGGTAATCAGGGCGGGGGCAGGGGGTGGGTAGGAGACGGAACTGGGGAGCAATGTGGAAAGTCAGGAGACGAAACTAGGGGGACGGGGGTTAGTAAGGAGATCAAACTGGGGAGACGGAGGTAGTCAGGAGTCAGGGACGGGGGCAGTCAGGAGACGGGACTGGAAAGTCCGGGGTAATTAGGGGATGGGATTGGGAAGATGCGGGGTAATCAGCCGCCAGAGGACGGAACGAGACAACACGGTGTAGTTAGGGGAAGAGTGACGGCGCTGGGGATAGTCAGACGAGGGATAATCAGAAGTCAGGAACGATGAGACACAGGGAAATTAGGGGACGGTCGGGGCACTGAGGAGACATACCGTAACCAGACCCCAGGGAACGGTATCGGTCAGAAAACACGGGGTAGTCGGACCAAGGTACCGGGGAGATTCAGGGAAATCAGGGGACGAGGGACAAGAGCTACGAGTAGCCAGAGAACAGGACTGAGGAGCCACAGGAGCCAGGAGTAACGACTTCCCGAAAAAAAAACACCGTCCCGTCGGTACCTCAAACACGTACCTATAACGCATCAACGTCGACAATCACCCTCCACCTACACAGAAAGGTCCACACTTCTCCGGGCCCCGCATTTACCCGTACTTTCCTTCCGTTGTGTTGCCAAAAAATATGCAGCTGAATCTTTGCATGGTCCATGGATTCACAGTGTCATATCTCAGAAAAAAAAATATATATAGAAAGTGAACGCCAATGTTACATAACATTACTGAAATCGTGTTAAAAACATTCACATTCCGAGCCATTTTTATCCGTCGTATTTATTTTTTTTTCAAAATGTTTAGTCAGGTACATACACGCATCATTACCTATGGTACTCATCAGCTACCTATGACACCCGACAAAATCTAATTGTTTGTCGAGAATCACCAATTGATTACATCAACATGTCAATAACATATGTTCACAGAGTGTTCACCACTAGCTTGGCGCAATCACCACATTTATCGTCTCACACACCTCACAAGGTATTTCCTCGATCAGCCGACTCCCTGGTGCCCTCTGAGTCCGAGCCGGTCTGAGGTTCCGCGCGGTCCGTCCCCTCCTCTCGGTAGGTTGTGGAGATCTCGAGGGGGACGTTCCCCGGGGGTGCCACGAAGTAATCGTCCTCAGTGACGGCGGCACAGGAGAGCACCTGGTCGACTGAGGGAGTGGGCAGCGGCTCGTCCGGCCGCAGCCGTAGACTCCTGTCGGCAGTCCGGACAGTAGCTGTTGCACACGGTTTTATAAGTAAATACCGCCTGTCATACTGTCATACACCGTACGAGTCTGCCATACACCGTCTTCATACACTGCCATGCATCGTCTGTCGCACGTTCACACACCGTCTGTCAGCCCATCATACAACGTCTGTCACCCGGTCACACACTGCATGTCACCTGGTCATACATTGCTGTCACGCATTGTCACGTAGTAGCACAACGTCTATCGCAGGTCGAAAGCCGTCTATCTGTTATTCACACGACTAATTGCCTTCGGCTACACCCGATTTCGACCCCAGTTACCGCTGGATTCGGGGCTGAAACACATCCACAGACCTGCGACAAGGTAAAATTTCATCCTGAATTCGTGAGTGGTGTGTTTGCCTACCAAAAGCATTGCATTGGAAATAAGAATGCAAATGTGACCTGACTATTAAACTCAATTTAGGATATGTTTATGAAGCAAGTTTCACAACTTTCCCCAAAATAACTTAACTTGTTTTCTGATCACATTACAATGCCTTTAGGAACATATAATTGCTCCAATATGAGCATTAATTAAGTAATTAATGTTCATATAATATTCATTATAATATTAGAACATTAATTAATATTACCAAACTATTAAAGAAACAGTAATGAACATCCTCCTTAATCCTTGACAGCTGTCAAAGTTTTCCAGCTCTGTGTATCTTTAAGCTAAGTCATTTTGACTGCCCCTCCCAGCTCCCACCATGCCATCATTTGTTCAGAAACCCACAGAGGAGTGGTAAAGTTACCTCCCAGAGGAATTGTCCTTCAACTAACCTGTCCTCCTGTACTGTGTATAACGGATCCACACCAGCTGTTTTAACAGCTTTTATTGAGTTCGCAAACTTGATAGCTTCTGATAGTCTTTCTACTCCCTGCCTGTTACCAAAGTCAACTAAAGATAGCCTTTCCAAAAGCATTATATCTTCATCCACGACAGCCTCATGGTTATCAGGAGACTGCTTTGCTATCTCAATGGGCTTTTGAGGTATATGCTTGAAATGTCTTACAGAAATGGAATGTTTGGAATATAGCGCATTAGTAAAATAGCGTGATAAAGATGTAGAAACAGCTCTCATCTCTGGTAAGCTGAATAGAGCTTTATCTTAAACTGCTGTTGATGCAATAAGATGCCAGCTTCTCTTCTTTAAATTCTGGAACAATAATAAAACATTCATGATATCACTAAGCAGTAGGCACCAGAGCAGGAGCTTGCTGCTTGGGTTGTGTCAAAATAATGCAATCACGTAGATACCTAAGTAAGCTCCATCATGTTACATCTGTTTGCAGAAACATCAAAAATAAAATACCTTTAAAATTGGTACTAAAGTTATCGCAAATAGTGGGCATTGGGGCATTAAAAATTAAAATTCCTTATCAATCAATGACAGGAAAAAAAACAGGATGACAGGGTTCATTTACTGTACACTTGGTGAAAAGAACCAGCAGCTAAATCTCACTTAAACTTACTTACTGACTTACAATCCCATATTCAAATATTCCAGAAAATATACCTACGTATGTCCTATGATGTGTGGCCTTGCCAACTTCATAATAAAACATCATAGGGTGCCGAATTCAATTTCTTACCTTAAACCTGTTCTGTCGACAGTAAAATCCTGCATCTCAGGTAACAGGTGGCTAAACTAGCACTAATCACCGAATCAAAATATATCTTACTCGTGTTGCCATGGGTATTTGTTGAATCTAATATTAAATTGAACATAATTTTTACTGCAGGTCTGCTTCATATTTGTAGTACCCTCGTTGTATCTGTATTATAATTTCTTAAAATTTTGGCTCTTTCCAGGTATATGACGTAATATAAATTTGGTATGCAATTTATCTGTTGTATATGTGTATAAATAGTATATGTGATTTATTGTGCTAATTTGATATATATATATATATATATTATTTCAATCATAAATTAAAATGAACTGTATTATTTTATCAAATGTAAATAATTTATTACTAATATTATGTCATCAAAAGAGACATTTTATGGATATCAGTATGTGAGGGGGCATGGGTGACGAAACATGCGAGTGAGCCTTGTGAGAGCGCCGGAAGTCGGAAAGCATTTGTGAGAGCAGCTGTTCGCGGGTGTGTGCCTTGAACGAGTTTTAAATTAATTATACGTTTTTCTCGTCGTGCTCTGCAAACCAAAGCTGTATCGAAATCTTTCCGACATCTTGACAATGGCTGAAGAAAACTCGACCTGTAATTCACTTAGCATGGAAGAAAAGGTGAAGCTTATCACCCGAAATCTTCAAGAAGTGCTAGGTGATGACAGAATGAAAGCTGTCATGAAGGAAAGAGACCTCCGAATCTACTGGGGTACTGCCACAACTGGAAAACCTCATTTGGCATACTTTGTTCCCATGTCAAAAATAGCCGACTTCTTGAAGGCAGGATGTGAAGTGACCATCCTGCTTGCCGATCTTCATGCTTACCTTGATAACATGAAAGCACCTTGGGATCTCTTGGCTTTGCGCACAGAGTATTATGAACGTGCTATAAAGGCTATGCTCAAGTCAATTGGTGTGCCACTGGAGAAACTGAAGTTCATCAAAGGAACAGACTACCAACTGAGCAAGGAGTTCACACTGGATGTCTATAGGTTAACGTCCATGGTTACTGAGCATGATGCCAAGAAAGCTGGTGCTGAGGTTGTGAAGCAGGTTGAGCATCCCCTTCTCTCTGGGCTTCTGTACCCCGGACTACAGGCACTGGATGAGGAGTATCTGAAGTGTGACACCCAGTTTGGAGGCATTGACCAGCGCAAAATCTTCACATTTGCCGAGAAGTATTTGCCACAGCTGGGATACAAGAAGAGGTCTCACCTGATGAACCCAATGGTTCCTGGTTTGACAGGTGGTAAGATGTCATCATCAGAAGAGGACAGCAAAATCGACCTGCTAGACTCTGCAGCATCAGTGAAAAAGAAGCTGAAGAAGGCCTTCTGTGAGCCAGGCAACACTGCAGACAATGGCGTCCTCTCCTTCTGCAAGCACGTCATCTTCCCTCTGCTGGGCGCTGAGAAGTTCACCATCGAGCGTGCTGAGGAGAACGGCGGCAACGTCGACTACGCCGAGTTTGCTGCCCTGGAGACGGCCTTCGCCGCGCAGGAGATCCACCCGGGCGACCTGAAGGCCACGGTGGAGCGCCACCTGAACCGACTGCTGGACCCGATCCGGCGCGAGTTCGAGGCGCCCGAGCTGAAGACGCTGGCGCAGCGCGCCTACCCGCCGCCCTCCAAGAAGGCCGCGGTCACAGAGACGGAGGGACCGCACCGGCTGGACATGCGCGTGGGCCGCGTGGTGTCAGTCGCGCGCCATCCGGACGCCGAGTCACTCTACGTCGAGAAGATCGACCTGGGCGAGCCGGAGCCGCGCACCATCGTCTCCGGTCTGGTGGAGCACATCAGCGCCGAGGAGCTCACCGGCCGGCTCGTGGTCGTGCTCTGCAACCTGAAGCCGGCCAAGATGCGCGGCGTCGAGTCGCGCGGCATGGTGCTGTGCGCCTCTGTGGACGAGCCGCGGGCCGTGCAGCCGCTCGACCCGCCGGCGGCCGCTCAGCCCGGAGACAGGGTGCTCGTCGAGGGGTACGAGACGGGACAGCCCGACGAACAGCTCAACCCCAAGAAGAAGGTGTGGGAGAAGCTGGCCGTGGACCTGAAGACGTCGTCGACGCGCGTGGCCGAGTGGCAGGCCAACCCGCTGATGACCAAGGATGGTGCGGTCACCTGCCGCTCTCTGGCCGGCGCGCCCATCAGGTAGCGCGCTGGTCGGCCGGAGCGAGACGGGACGGGCGTGCCGTCAACACCACAGGTGCGTGTTTACCGAACCGTGACCATGCTACCCTACACTTTCGGCTCTGGTACACGCTAGGAGACATTACGTACCTTTTCCCCATTTTACCTTTTCTATTCAATGCGCAATGTTTTGATCGACAATGCTAAGATGGTAGGGTGATTGGAGTAAGAGTTGGCCCCGCTGTTAATCCGCCTGCGGTAGCGGGTTTTGGTCTGGTTGCGGCTGGCTGCGTTACGGCCCAGCAGAGGACGCCACCGAGTTGGTAGAATGGCCCGGGTTTCTATCTGTTTTAGGTCAGCTAGTTATCGTTTTCCGGCATCGGTGGTTACAGATTAGAAGTGTCACGCCGCGAATGCTCGTCAGATTATTTAAATGGATATTTATGACTTATTGTTCGGCAATGCGTGCCTGCACATTCTGCTGATGGGTTTGGAATAAAACTGTCCCGTGCACATTTTACCCACTGCATGTTCTGTGGTGGTACAGTGGATGGGTGGATGGACGGACGGACGACCGGATATATGGGTAATGGGACTTATAAGAATCGGATCGCACCACGACCACGGCACGGTCGGACATTCACCTTCGAAAACGTTGACTACCAGCTTTTCCAGCCGAGAAAGATCGGGTCGCCTTAAAAAAAACAGCGAACAGTCACATTATAGGCGCGACAAAGTACATATATTTAAAATCTTAACAAAAAATACACTTTCAAAATAGCGCAGAGTATCGATTCTTTTCGTCAATTCAATACAATGTGTTGCCTTTGTTCCGTAAAACACATTTCTTTCCCGACATAGCTTCAGGATACTTATTTCTGCACAACAAACTAAGCATAAATTTCAAAACATGGCCGCGTTTGGCTATAACTGCTCGCAAGATTCGGTGCACCGTTCAGACTCAGCTCGTCAGTGATTCCCACCATCCTCGCGGCCAGCGGACGTCACACAGGCTGGACGCCGAAAAATACAGCCTTAAAATTTACGTAGTCCATATTTATTGATAAATGAATAACTAGGTACACGGCGCCATCTCGTATTATGCGTAAAAAAGAAAACGATGATTAATCTAACGTCCGGTATGTAACAATATTGGCGTCAAAGTTCCTACACAAATCTGGAACAGCTAAGACATTTGGGTCTCGCCGAAGCCGTTGCGGCATAAAGCATGCGCTCGAGATGGGCTAGGTATATTCGCTGCGATGCGGTGCCACAGTGGTGAGCTGCCAAGTAAACGTGAACTTACAAAATATTCCTCCAACACAACAAGCTGCCAGGCTGGCTCAACCAATACAGAACGGATTTGCGGCTGCGGGCTGGGCCGGTGACGGTGCTCGGGTGACGGCGCGGCGGGCGGCGGCGCGTCCCGGCACCGGCCAAGCAGCCGCGGCGGCGGCGTGGCGGCGGTACGCCAGCGCTCAGCGGTACACAAAGCGACGCGACGGAACACGATCGCCGCCGCCGCCTCGGCTCCGGCGCTGGAGACGGCCGGGGCTGGGAGGCGAGCGGCGGGCGACAGGCGGGCAGCCGACGTCCGGCGGGTGGCGAACGGGGCGCGTGGAACCGGCCGACACTGGGGCACCTGGCGGCGGAGACGAGGGTAGTGTTAGTCGCAGGCACAGGCATGACTGACTCACATAGGGGAAAGACGACAGGTCATCGTCAATACCCGTCAAATAAGACCCAGCCCTGGACGTGGGCCGACGTACAAAACATACGATACGGATTGACAATCGGTGATGAAATGCTAGTCTGTTCAACCTGAATCAGTTTGATGTGGTAAATATTCATGTATTTGAAACACTACACTAAATCTTTGATTTGATTCTTCAGTACCCTATTGGACATCGCATGAGCGTTCGGTAAACGACTGCATCAGCGAGTCTATATAAATACTATACTAGTGGGGTCACAAGACTGGGGCTGCAGTACGTCTACCTCACTAACCAGCGTGCCGCCCGCCTAGGAGGCGGGCGGGTTGGTGCTCTGCTGCTGAATCTCTATCTTCTCCACAGTCATGTCGGGGTTCATGTCGGTGGCCTCCTGGATGGCCTCTCGCAGCGCGGCGTCGTGGTCGATCGGGTCGCCGTCCGACTGGATGGTGATCTTCTGTTCCACCCGCGTCTCCACCACGCCGTCCTTCTCAGTCTTGTACTGCGGCACGGCACAGAGACCACGGTAAACGCACAGACCGCGACCATAGCGCGACACTGGCACGGCCCACTGCCCGGGCCACGCCGTCCTTCTCAGTCTAGTACTGCGGAGTGGCACACGGCATGGATCACGGTCACGGCACGGCACGGCACGGATCATGATGACGGTTGCCGTACGGCATGGACACGGCACGGCAATATACGCGGTCACAAGGAAAAGGACGACCACCGGACATTATATAGAACGAGCTACGTTCATGATACTGTATGGGCAAACACGGCCGGCAGAAGGCAGCACTAGTCACAACAAACGGCGGCCAAACGAGTCACCCACATCATCCACACGGGGATCGTTTCCCACAGCCAAAACTAAACCTGATAGGTGGACTGCCGAGCTTGCATGATATTGCCCCTTGGAGCCTGTACCATAAAACGTTCATAGTCGTATCTTCTTACCGTGAATGTTTCGACAGCCCGCTGTACTAACCGTGACGGTTTCGACAGTCCGCTGGCGGCTGGTCACCGTCTGACTGCAGCTCACATATCTCACATTTCTCACTGTCTCTGGTACTTACCGTGACGGTCTCGACAGTCCGCTGGCGGCTGGTCACCGTCTGACTGCTCACAATCTCTCCCTCCGCCTCGTAATTGTCGCCTTGAACAGACACCTGTGCACAGAATCAAAATAGCACATCAGACCAATGAACAGAACACATAGGTGTCATGCTACACATTAGAGTCACCCCCTATCCCACCTAGAAATCTTGTCGGTAGCAACTAATTAGATAAACTACCATCAGACATCCACTCGAATAGAAAAAAAACTATCTTCGCTTTCGCAGAAACAGACATTAAACCACTAGCAGACATTAAACCACATTAAACCAGACATAACCATTTTGGCTCAAATGAAACACCGAAAACGCATTCAAAAGGCTAACGATGTCGATTTGATGCGATGGGCCGCACAAGGCACCACGAAGCTAGTGCGCACAAAGATTTGTCACCCTTTATCGACTCACAGTCCCGCTCGGACCCACCTTCCTGCTCTCGGTGGCGACCACTGGCACGTTGGTAGTGGCCCGCGCCGGACTGCCCGCGCCGGCGCCCGGCGGAGCGTACTTGACCGCCTCGGTGCGCACGATCGGGTCAGAAGAGGAGCTCTCCGTCTGTGGTGGTCAGTGGGTGGCGTCAGCGGTCAAATGTCAGTGGCTAGTGGTCAGTCGCTAGCCGGGTTCAATGGTCAGAAGTGAGTCTCTGAGGTAAAGATCGCCTGTCATTATCACATGATACACTTTTTGAAAATAGAGTGCAACATAATGTATAGGAAAAACTTAGATCACTACCCTTCAGATTGACGAGAACAGGCTGTCCTATAACGAGCCAGAAGCTCTTGGAGAGACGTCACACACAGAAAGATGGTAAGAGCTATGTGGGCGTACGACAATATTAGGCGTTTATCAGCCGCGATGCAAAATGCAAGCTGACATAAAAATATGGTCCCACCTTCCTAGTTTGAAGCACGAATAAAACATCAAAGCCAACACGAAAAGCGCTACCCACAATTGCAACTGTCCAGATCGCTCCACTTCGTAGCAGAAAAGCCGAACAACGAACATAAAAAGCCGAGTAATCCCTTTCAACAACGTAAACAAATGAGAAAAACATGAGCCACAAAAATAGAAAAGAGCCTAGCGAATGCCTTTTCGGCAAAACATAACTCAGCGAGGGTATTGAGTCCGCAAACAACTGTCAAAGGCAAATAACGTCGGTGAAAATTGAAATCAAACCCGTTTCACAAGTGCTTCCAGGTGCAACCAAATCCCAGTGAAGCAGTGAACCCAGGTGGGTGAACAGTTGAACACATAGGTAGCATTCCAAAGCACCCAGATTCCTCCAAATGGGTGCAGATCGAGCCAAAACAAGAAAGCATCAACAAAACAAAACAAGCACATTCAGACATTCACACAGACCGTGGATCACACAGACTAATCCACGGACTCAGCCGAACAAATTGAGCGGAGTAGCGCGGGGACCGCAGCGTCGAGACACTGCCGGGACGTCGATCTGCCGTCACCTGCCACTCGTTGACCGTATACTCTTCTCCGGCGTCCAGATTGGTGCCCGAGTCGTCACTGGCCGTCGACGAGACCGAGTGGCGGCGACGAGCCGGTGACGACGGCTGAGCACCACCGCCCGACGCCGCCTGGTTAGTGGGTGCGGGGCGGCCGCCGGTTAGTTGGTGGGTGCGGGGACGGCCGTCGGTTAGTTAGTGGGTGCGGGACGGCCGTAGGTTAGTTAGTGGGTGCGGGGGGCGGCCGCCGGTTAGTTAGTGGGTGCAGGGGAGTCAATATTTAGTTAGTGGGGATGCAGAGCCGGTGGAGGTTACACGGGCACGGGCAGTTTAGTTAAAAGGGACGTTGGGGCGGCCGGGGGTTAGTAGAGCGAGCAATAATTCATTATTGGAGTGCAGAGTGGCGCTCTGCATTAGAGCCATTAGTAAGGCAGCAGGTTACGCGGCTGCCCGCTGGTGGTTACGAGGTGTCAGTTGGTGGGACGAAAAGCCAGCGCTAGTAGAGACCTTTGGTTGGTGTCGTACATGTAAAACGACCGGCAGTCGCGATGCTCCTACACGTGGTTCACGCACACGAAGTCCGGCCATAGGAGGCAGTATGGTACACTTTGGGCGAAAGGAGTCCTTAACCATGGCGAAGAAAAGAGACTGGATCAAACAATCGAATTTACAGCTAGCGACGATTCTATGGAGCGATTCCATAACACGGTGGAAAGACCAAAGAGATGTATGCTCCGAGGCAGCGCCCAAGGCAGAACGTCGAAGCCGGGGGAGAAAATGCGACCAACTTTGTGAGCAGAACGGTCAACCACTGTCCTTGTAGCGGTGTTCTCGGTATCTGTTAGTCAGTAGGTATGACTGGACTTGCATGTGCTGCATTGTCTCCCTAGAATGAATAGTCAGCTTCGGAACGACGCCACCTGAAACCCACTTCTGTAACGACTGCGGTAGCACACGCTGAAAACGAGACAATGATCAGGCCTCCAGATGTGTGTGAAAGTCGGAGTTGAGGCAAGGTCAGGCCGAGAAACAGGCGACCCGAGACCAAACCACCCACTGTCGGGCAATGATGCAGACCGTGAAGTGCATACCCACACCGTGACAAGAGCCAGTCAGACAGATGAGAAAACCAGATAGACCGTTAGTAGACGACAAGCTCAGCCGCCGCGCTGGTCAGGTAGCCAGGGCGGCGGCCGCTCCCCTGTGCGATCCCATCCACCGTTCAGGCAGAGGCTGCTCGGAGCCGGTGCGCCCTGCAGTGCTGTGGAGGTGGTGTGACCGACCGGTGACCTCCCACCGTGCTGGGACCGCCGACCGGTCGGTGTACGAAGAGAGGAACCGAGTAGCGGTTTCCAAGTCGCCAGCTGACCTTCCCATTGACGCTGGTCCGGCCGGCCGCGGTGACGGCCGGGGTAGCAGTAGCGGCCGGGGTAGCAGTAGCGGCCGGGGTAGTGGTAGCGGCCGGGGTAGCGGTAGAGGTAGCAGCCGACCGCAGGTAGCCGGGCCGGTACCCCGGGTCGAACGCACTGCGGAGGCCGCGGTACGGCCGCGGACCGAACGACTGGTGGTCGCCGGCGGCACATACATACAGTTATGTCACAGGGAGGGACGGGGCGGGGCAGCGCGGCGTCCTCAACCGCCGCCAACCACCGTCACACGAGTTAACATATACAGACTTTTAGTTACACTTTACACTACCATGCATATTTAATCCACACCACACAACTACAAGGAAAATCCGAGTTGCAGGGATAAATCTCAAACTTCTACTGTTAGTTATCTACAACGGGTAGTTAGACCGACACCTCTCACTTAGCTACCGATCAGGGATCGCAGCCCAGTCGCAATTGCTGCTGTCTTGCTGTCCCGACAACCCCTCCATTTCTCTAGTCAGACTCCTGTGGAACCACCTGCCCGTCTCACCAGGGCGTTGCTGGGCGGCCGGCTGGCGCCGCTGTCGCCGTCGCCGCCGCTGATGAGTTTGCGCGTCTTCTGCACCTCCTGAGTGAGCACCGTCTGCTCCTGGTGGGTGGCGCTGGTGGTGGTCGTGGCAGCGAACGTCTTCTCCTTTACCTGAAGCGCACACAGAAACATGGTGGGAAGGGAGGGTGTTAATGTTACAGTAAAGGTTTTCAACAGCTGTGCACCAGGTAGCGGTTGGCATGATTGCGCTAAAGGACAACTTTTGCGAACGGTTCCAGATATTGCAAGAAATGCAATGAGTGCGAGTACGCTGAATTAAGAGGGAAATGATGATTTCCTAAAGCTGATAAGGGCCAATGACTCGTAAAAATGCGACAAAAGATAAGCATCAGTATCAACAGGAGCTAATCAGGAAAAGGCAACAATCAAACGAACTTTGTTTACACGGGGGCTGCCTTTGGCGGGTGAATCACCATCTGAAGTTCAAATATACACACACAAACTAGCTCATCGAGCGCTCACCACGCCCACACAAAGGGACGATGGAGATACCATTCACGTTGGCTAATCGTTCAGCCCTGCTCTGAATGAAGTGCCGCTGCCTAGCCGACTGGCCGGGCGGTAACTCCGCCCCGCCGTCCCGACCAGGACCGTCCTTTTGTACGCACCTGCCCCCAGCTCTCATCGGGCTGGTTTTTGTCCTCGTGCATCTGGGCGGTGCGCGTGGTCACTGTAGTCGCCATCACGTGCGGCGCGTTGGCGTCCGAGCCCTCCTGCTGTAATAACATACCAGCCACGTGCCACGTGCCGGTTGCGGGTCACAGGCGCAGTGGGTGGGGACGGATGACAAGCCAAATACGAGGTTGTGCAATGAATTAAATGAGCCAAGTTACTGAATCTAAGGGATTATGCGGTATATGAAAGCAGCATTAAGCGATCGATGCTTGGGTATGTGTTTCAAATGTATACTGTAAATGAGTATCAAACTACATGAAGCAAAGCGGACGGATAAATGCAAACTATCTGAAGCTGCGATTGCGTGCTCTTACGACACCAAACACTAAAACATATACACATCGCCTTTCACAGACTGAAACATGCCCAATGCACGCAACAAAGCACGCTCGAGCCCGATGGGCGCTCAGCCACTGGCACACGTTGCGGGGCTCCTTACCTTGCTGACCGACTGGTCGACGGTCACCTCCCCGGTGGCCAGGTCCTGTACGGCACGCACCGTCTCCTCCGTAGTGCCGGCCGCGTTCTTCACCATCGTCTTTTTGGTGGTGGTTTTGACGATGTTGGGCGCGCCGGCGGCGGCCCGCAGTCGCGCGATGCGCTCGTCCGTATCGGGACGGAGGTCGTTGGCGTACCCCTCCAGCTCCGAGTCGCTTGATGAGGAGGAAGACGAGGACGAAGAGGATGAGGAAGAACTCGAGGAAGACTCGCCCTTCTTTTTCTTCTTCTTTTTCTTGTCCTTGGAGCCGGACTTGGCGTCCTTCTTGGAGCCCGTCTTCTTCTTGCCGCTGGCAGCGGTACCGGTGAGCTCTGCCACCTCCTCTGATTCCAATGTGCTGTCCAGGTCGGCGGCGCCCGGCACAGCCGCCGGGTCGCTGCTACCCTTCTTACCGAACCGGCCTCCCTTCTTCTTATCCTTACCCGACTTGTCCTTTCCGGCATCCTTACCTTTCGACTTGTCTTTGACTTTATCGTGTGGTGTTTCCGATTCGCTCTCGGATGTCTTCTTCTTACCGAAGCGAGCGAAGATTCCACCAGATTTGGGCTTTTTCGCCGACTTGGCTGCCTTGTCTGCCTTGTGCGCGGCGGCATCAGAGTCGCTGGTAACTCCGGCGGAACCCGGAGAGGTGGCGTGCGCGGCAGCGTTAGCGCCTGAAGCAGCAGCTCCGGCAGCTCCCGCCGGGGTATCCTTGTGCGCGCCGCCTGAGCCGGGGGTAGCTCCTGCGGCCTCCGCTGACTGACCCGCCGCCGCCGAGCCCGTCTGACCCTCGCCGGGCTGGGGCGCGTAGTTGAACGCCATGGCCCGTTTGGTGGACGGGGAGATGGACGTGTTGAGCTCGTCCTTCCCGCCCTGCTCGCCACTAGCGCCGCCACTGTAGCTGAAGCCTAGCTGCGAGGGCGGTAGAGATTTCCGTACGGCTGGGTCGCCCTCTTGGTAGGTGTACTCACGGGTGTGACCGCCAGCCGGGCCGCCGCCGCCTGCAAGGAATGAACCTTTTGCACCGGAGCCGGGGCCGGAGCCAGCGCCGGAGCCTGACCCGGGGCCAGAACCGGAGCCGGAGCCACCGAGACGGCCGGGTTCTCGCTCGTACCGGCCAAACGCCGAGCCTGGTGATCCGAGCTGCACCCCGCCGACAGTAGCGGCCGCAGGGGAGCCGCCCAGACGACCGGCACCCGCCGCGCCGCCACCGCCGCCCAGCCGGCCGGGCTCCTTGTCGTAGGAGCCGAGCCTCGCGCCGCCGACAGGGGAGGCGGCCGAGCCCAGCCGGCCCGGCTCGCGGTCATAGGTACCCAGACCGGTGCCGCCGTTCGACTCTCCTCTGAACGAGCCCTGCCGCGGGGCAGGGGATGCGTTGGAGCCCAGTCGGCCCGGCTCACGGTCGTATGAGCCTAGCCGCGCACCGGCAGCGGTCGACGCTGGCGTGGAGGCGTTCGAACCGAGCCTGCCTGGCTCGCGATCATACGAGCCCAGTCTGCCACCTCCCGGACCGGGTGACGGGGAGGCTCCCAGTCTCCCGGGCTCTTTGTCGTAAGCTCCCAGCCTTACGCCGGCGGCCGGCTGGCCGGGCCGGGGGCCGCCCGAGCCCGGTCGACCCGGCTCGCGATCGTAGCTGACGGCCGAGGCAGCAAGGTCGGCGCTGAGCGGGATTCCCCCGCGCGGTGGTGTCGTGTCTCCGTTGGTTTCGCCGTCCTGCCGGCCGGCCGGCACCCGTGACAGACGGACAGACATGACAGACTGACAGACGCTCCGGCCCAGCGAGGCACGGTCACAGGCACAGGCACGAGGCAGGACAACCAGACAATGCCGCCCAGACGACGGACGAAGGCATGACAAGCAAAATGAGACGTCTACATATCAAAACATGATACACATCTAATGATGAGACAGGCAAAAACAAAAATGTAATGAATTTACAAATAATCATAAAATAAATGCAAAGATAATCAGGGAAATGTGCGACGATGGAGGACATAACCAACGTTTAACGTTATTATCAACGACGTTCAAGCCTCTACAATGTCCTCCAAAGTTGCATGTATTCCCATAACAAAACAAATGATAAGCCGCTCAGGTAGCTCCGTCTACGCTGTTCGCGGACGGTGTCCATGCTGGCTCAGGGGACGGGTCGGACGACTAAAGGTTACCATGCTCGGCCAGCCACTGACCGGAGTACTCACCTTCCGTGTCTTGGAGAGGTCCATTGGGGGCAGCACGGCTACGCCGCCGATCGGCCTCTGAAACACGGACACAGACCGCGGTTAGAACCCGCTCCGGACCGCTGTCGTAAGCGCAAGTGGACGGCTATGCGTTAGTTCATGATTTTAGTGAGTTGGAAGCATATGCTTTGCCATATACATTAGATGTCATTCGAGATGTCAATGGTGGTTATGAAGAAGAGCGGTAAAAACCTCATGCCCAGCCAAGTAAACCAGAATGATGCATTGCTACATTACTTGAAATGAATCATCACAAAGGGGGCGTTCCACGACAAATCGACAAATAAAAAATTAAATTTGCACCCTCATATTTTATTTTTCGTTGAAAACTGGTGTAAGGGGTTGTGATGGGCGGGGAAGCCAGCTGTGGCCAGGATTTTTTTTCTTCGAACAACGGTTTCCGAGATATAGCCTCGGGCAATTCCAGCAGGTCGCGCTGCAGTCCTATGTTTGGCGGCCTATAACTCAGAAACTATTGGTTTTCTACGATAAAAACTTTATATGGTTCAACTCACAATCAGTCAACAAACATTTTGGCTATCTTGGATTTTCAATTTTTGAAAATTTTGATTGCGTGACCATTTGACCTATTTTTCGAAGAGTGACCTTGATATTTTCCCCACTGAAAGTTGTAATTTTGTCTGATGACTATTAAAGCCTTATCAATTGTAATTCATATGCGAAAATAAAAAAAGTGGATATCGCCCTGCGTTGCCCTCAGGTCAGGTCATTTTTATGACCTGTCCATTTTTACGAGCGGGAGCGACAGCGAGATCTCGAGAATAAAGCAAGATAGCGACAAGCGGTAAACGGTGCAGGGTACAAATGGATAAGGTCTATAATTTTTACTGAGGTCATTTTCAGGTCAGGTCAAAGATGACGTCACAGGAGCAAAAAGGAGGTCGAAATTGCGGCACTACATATATATGAAGTTTTCTAGAATAACTTTCAAGGTATCCCAGCTAGGAACAAACTAATAGCACCATCGTGATCCTCTCGTCGATCCGCATCGAAATATATGTATGTTGACCTCGAAAGGTCGAAAGGTCAAAAGTTGACCTTAGGTCACGTGACGAGCGGGAGCGACAGCGAGATCTCGAGAATAAAGCAAGATAGCGACAAGCGGTAAACGTTGCAGGGTACACACGGATAAGGTCTATAATTTTTATTGAGGTCATTTTCAGGTCAGGTCAAAGATGACGTCACAGGAGCAAAAAGGAAGTCAAAATTGCGGCACTACATATATATGAAGTTTTTCTCGAATAACTTTCAAGGTATCCCAGCTAGGAGCAAACTAATAGCACCATCGTGATCCTCTTGTCGATCCGCATCGAAACATATGTAAATTGACCTCGAAAGGTCGAAAGGTCAAAAGGTGACCTAAGGTAACGTGACCTAAGGTCAACTTTTGACCTTTCGACCTTTCGAGGTCAACATACATATGTTTCGATGCGGATCGACGAGAGGATCACGATGGTGATATTAGTTTGTTCCTAGCTGGGATACCTTGAAAGTTATTCGAGAAAAACTTCATATATATGTAGTGCCGCAATTTTGACTTTCTTTTTGCTCCTGTGACGTCATCTTTGACCTGACCTGAAAGTGACCTCAGTAAAAATGATAGACCTTATCCATTTGTACCCTGCACCGTTTACCGCTTGTCGCTATCTTGCTTTATTCTCGAGATCTCGCTGTCGCTCCCGCTCGTAATAATGGACAGGTCATTAAAATGACCTGACCTGAGGTCAACGCAGGGCGATATCCACTTTTTTTATTTTCGCATATGAATGACAATTGATAAGGCTTTAATCGTCATCAGACAAAATTGCAACTTTCAGTGGGGAAAATATCAAGGTCACTCTTCGAAAAATAGGTCAAAAGGTCACGTGATCAAAATTTTCAAAAATTGAAAATCTGAGATAGCCAAAATGTTTGTTGGCTGATTGTGAGTTGAACCATATAAAGTTTTTATCGTAGAAAACCAATAGTTTTTGAGTTATAGGCCGCCAAACATAGGGCTGCAGCGCGACATCCAGGAATTGCCCGAGGCTATATCTCGGAAACCGTTGTTCGAAGAAAAAAATCCTTGCCACAGCTGGCTTCCCCGCCCATCACAACCCATTTGGCCAATTTTAAGCAAAAAATAAAATATGAGGGTGCAGGGCACTTGTCGATTTGTCGTGGAACGCCCCAAAGAATAAATAACAAGCATACCACGCCAAGCCTATGAAATCACAAGCGTAAGCATCCATGATAAGAGCATGCGCTGCTTTTCACAAAACTTCATGTCATCCCAAGCCAGTTAGGTACTAGTTAGTTACCAAAGGAAATAACAATCGCACAAGCACAGGCAAGCACAGATCATGCATAATTCCGTATCCGGAATTGATTAAAGAGCCGAAGTTGGCCTTCATCCGAACGGCACTGGTTGCGGGTGGAGGGGGGGGGGGAGACGAGGCCACAAAATGGCATGGTGGGGCGGGGCGGAGAAAATAAGCAAGGGACCGACGGACGAATCAACTGAGCAGACGGACCAACATATGCGCCCAGGTGCCATTCACCTAACTAATGGCACCATGAACGACACAACATCGGCGGACTGACGACACCCTCCCTCTAGCGGACTGCTTGGACCAGCGTACTCCGAGCGAACTGCTCGCACCAGCGTACGGTACACGAACTGAGCCGACGCAGCGACGGTCTGGCGGACGGACAAAAGCCTTTACATACGCCCCAAGTACCTCGTCATCGGGCAGCGGCGCCGGCGGCCGACTGTGACGCTGCATTCGGTGAGTACGCGGCGGCAGCGGCGGTGCAGCGTTCGCGTACACGGCAGCCCGCTCCTGGGCCGGCGTCCTCGGCGGCGTGTGGCTCCAGCCGGGAGGGTAGCGGCTCCATTCGTCCTCATTGCTGTACAGATGCGGCCACTGGTCCTGATTGCCGTAGATATGCGGCGGAGCGGCCGGCCAGCCGGCGGGACTGCCGGGTGACCAGCCAGCAGGGCTGCCTGCTGGCCAGCCAGCGGGACTACCGGCCGGCCAGCCAGCAGGGCTGCCAGCCGGCCATCCGGCAGGACTACCCGCCGGCCAGGCGGCGGGGTTCCTGTGCCAGTCCCAGCCATACCAGCTATCCTCCGGTGAGAGGGTATGGGCGGGCCGCGCGCGGCGCGGACCCGAGCCATCCCAGCGCTGTTGCCGACGGTCCCAGCTTCCTGGCGGCGGACGCGGGTCTCTTCCCGAGAAATGAGAGACGAACGCAGTGGTTTCCTCACAGACGTGCGCCGCCTCATCAGTGTCCATATCGTGGTTAACGTGAACACCAAACCGTACATTGTCGCCAGCGAACGCGAACGGGTGGCCGCGGGGATGGGAGTAGTGGTCTTGGCCCTGGTCGTGTATTCGCTCTCCTCGCCAAGGCTGGTGATCCGAAGTGGGTCTTCCCTGCCTGGCGTCTGCGCTCGTCCCCCAGCCATTTACAGACGGCGTGGTCCTTTCGGCGGACCCTCTACCGCTGTTCATGCTACTGTATGGCGTAGATCGCCGGTCCCTTCCCGAGATATCAGACTCCAGACTCCGCCGGTCGGCTCGTCGTAGCAGAGGTGTCTGATGGGTCTCGGATCCATCCGCGCCTTTCTCCTCTATACCGATACTGACGATATCAGACAGGACTGGTGGCGGCGGAGGCTCACTCGGCAAGGGCAGCGGGACTGTGTAAGAGTCCATGGACGAAACTGATGCGCGCTCACCGGCTGCGTCGAATCTCCAGTATGGACCGCGGTTGTCCTGCGGCAGCGGTGGCGGAGGAGGCGGTGGTTCGGCAGACCCCCGTCCCGCAGCTGCCGGCGAGTCGCGGCGGCCGCGCAGTGCAGGGTAGTAGTAGGTGTGCTCACTGGGACGCGAGTAGTGCTCCTGGTCGGGGTCCGAGTCGGTGTCCCGAGCATACGGGTTACGCACCACGGTGGCATCCTCGTGTAGGGGTGGCGGCGGCAGTGGAAGACCGGCGGCCGAGCGCAGGGGCGAGTCGGACGGCGGGGGAGGCAGCTCGCGACTCGCGCGCCGTCGAGGGTACTCCGGCTCTACAACGGCACGCAGGCCCCGCCGGCCGCCACCGCGTACCGAACAGTACACGTTCTCCTCGGCTTCTACGGACGGTGAGCTATCGCCCAGTTGGCCGGCCGCGACCGGTGCCGACTGAGGAACCGACTGAGGATCCCTTCGATCGCTGTCGGGGCGGGACTTCTTCCGAAGGAATTTCGGGCTCTTCCAGGATGTGTTTCTTTTGCCGGTCCTGTCATCTATACTGCTGGTGGTGTTATGCGCTCCCTCTGTCGAGAACCTACTGTCCCGGCTCGTATCATGGTCACGTCTCGAGTCCGACGCCAGATCCTCGCTCGCTGACTCGTCGTCACCTTTGAACATGTGTTTGCCAAACAAGCTCCGACGCCTACCGGCCCTGACGGCAGCGTTCTCGGCACTGACATCGGCCTCCCCGGAATCCGACGGCTGGTTGTCAGTGTCGACGGCCGCCTTTCGGCCGAACACGTGCCAGCTCTTGCGGCGCTTATCCCGCCGGCTGAGCCCCTCGCTGGCGGCTGTGTCGGAGCCCGACCCCGCCGCAGGGAGGCCATCCTCGGTACCGTTCCGGCTCCGCATTGAGTCGTCTGTTCGGTGACGTCTCAGTTTGACGACATTCTCTGCCTCGCCCTGTCTTTGTCCGACAGCGTTCTCGGTCCCGGTTTGTCTTCGTCCCATACTATCCTCTGTTCCTTCCCGTTTCCGTCTCATGCCGTCCTCTGTTCCGTCCCCTATCGGTCCCACACCGTCCCTCATTCCATCTCGTTTCCGATTGATACTACCCTGGGGCGATGTCTGGCCCCGTCCTCCCCGGTCCTGTCCCCGCCCCAAGCCGTATTCTGCCCCATCCCGTCTTGGTCCCAAACCATCGTCCATACCCTTCCATCTTGACCCCATACCATCATCTGCCCTGCCCTGTCGCAGTTCCATAACAACTGTGCGGTCCTTGATCTGTCCTACACCGTCCTCCCTACGATCCAACAGCCTCCGTCTAATACTGTCCTCAGTCCCGTCCCTTTTCCTCTCCAGACTATCTCGTGTCCCATCCCTTCTCCCCATACTTCCTTCTGTCCCATGCCGGTTCAGACTGACACCGTTCTCTTTTCCGTCCCTCCTCTGTCTGATGTCGTCCTCTGCGTCATCTCGTCTTGGTCTCTCGCCATCCACTGTCCCATCCCGGCGCAGTCCCCTACCATCATTTGCCCCATTCTGTCTGGGTCCTACGCTGTTCTCATCCATATCCCGTCTTTGTCCCATTGAATCTTCTTCCCCGTCTCGCCTTGGTCCCACGCCATTTTCGGTCCCGTTCTGTCTCAGCCCCTCACTGTCCTCTGTTCCGGCAAAATATAGTCCCTTAGCAACCTCCACTCCGTGTGGATTCTGCTTGTCACTGTCCAGTGTCTCGTCCCACTTCGACTCCATTCCGTCCTCAAACCCCGCCGAATCTGTGGTCAGTGTCTCGTCGTGTCGCTGTCCGGAGGCAGTCAGTGGAGTGATATTCGGAGAAGACTGGAAGGTTGCTTCTCTACGCGGCCTCAGCAGGGGTGGCGGCGGCTCGGGGGCCGCTCTCATGGCCCTGTTCTGGTACAGGTCTGCGCCGGTCCCCTGCAGGTCGTCAGATTCACCCCATGAGGATGAGTACGACCCTCGTTGGCGTCCCTGCACCATCAGTGAGGCAGCTTCCACTGCCGGCCCGTCGTCCATCGGTCGATCCGCCCGCACGGTTCTGGGACTTCCCGCAGGACCGGTCATCTCCCAGTCACCGCGCTTCTTCTGAGGAGTCAGACCTAGCACTTTCCCTTTGATACGGTTGCCGAAACTACGCTTTTCTTGTGTTGCTCTCATCACAAACACGGGGTCCGCGACTCTACGCGAGGTCTCTTCTCGGGCCTGCTTTGGTGGTGGCTTCGGGAAAACGTCAAACCTGGAGAAGAGTGACTTAGATTTACCTTTGAATGGTCCCGACTCAGCCGGCCTCGGAAGATCCGACACTGGCTCGCTACTTCTTTCCAGCCGCTCGGTGCTCCTTTCCAGCCGATCAGTGCTTTTCTCGTGCAGCTTATCTCTGGATTTCCACAGCTTGGAGAGCCGCGGCTTGCTCTTTTTGACAATCTCCCCGGCTGAGTGTCTCCGCTCATCATCCCAATCCGCATCACTGTCGGTCTTCCGGCTGGAACGCCGTCCGCTGGGCGCCGTCTTGTTGACCGAGCCGCTGCCTCTCCCTCCGGTGTTGCTGCCGTGGTTCCGTGCAGCCAGCGACCCGACGGAGTTCTGTCGGGAGCGCGCCGGCTGGGCCCCGAACCAGATCTGATCGTCGGCGTCTGCGTCTCGGCTGGCGGCGGGCAGGTTACCCATCGAGCCGCCGAACCGTCTCGGTCTGCGGCGGCGGCCGGTGGAGATCTCCACCCCGAGGTCTGATCCCACCGAGCCGCTGAGTCTCCGTCTGCGGCCGGTGGCCACGGTCACCCCTCCGGACATCCCCGCCAGAGACGAGCCGCTAAGACGACGCCGCCGCCGCCGGCCGGCCGGCACCGAGACGCTGCCCAGCTCGGAGGCCACAGAGGAGGCACTCAGCCGGCGGCGACGGCGACCCGTAGCCACTTCGAGAGCCAGGTCCGACCCGAAGGAGCCACCTCCGCTCAGGTTGCGCCGCCGCCCGGTGGCCACCTCCACATAGACGTCAGAGGCCAGAGATGAGCCGCTGAGACGTCGGCGACGGGAGCGGCCGGTGGGCACCTCCACGCTGCCCAGACTGGAGCCGACAGAACTGGCGCTCAGGCGGCGCCGGCGCCGGCCACTACTAAGAGACATACCACCGGTGGCCGGTATGGGCACATGGGCCGGCGCGTAGTCTCTAGCGCGGCGACGGCGGCCGACCGGCTGCATGTGTCGACGATCGTAGCCTTCGGCCACGGCCGGCGACGAAGGAGCTCCACTAGTCACCATGGAGAAACCACGGGGATCGCCGTCTGTCGGCTGTCGAGCCCCGTTCGACGGCTCAGGGACCGGCGGAGGCGGCCGCGAGGGGCGAGACGACTGAAACTTCTCTGAAGAAACCGGCTGACGCGTCATTGGAGGACCCATAGCGGTGTAGTGGGAGGGAAGATCTGGAGACCTTTCACGGCGTCCTGTTGAGCTACCCGGACGGCTGGACCGCCGGTCCATATTAGGAAGACTTCTCTGGGAGTGTCTGATGGTTTCAGGCGCCGCTCGATCTGACCATCCAGCAGACATTACATTGGAGTAATCGGGCGACAGTGCTCCCTGCGTTCCGGTAAAACTCAGAGAGCCGTTCGCGGTGGCGTGTTTGGGCGGCAGTGGCGGCGTGTCCGTCTCCTGGCCGGTTTGCTTCGGCGGCCGTGGCGGGGCTCCACCGGCTCCCTGCTTAGGAGGCCGTGGTGGTGTCTGGTCAGGATCCTGCGACCGTCCATGCTTGGGCGGCAGAAGCGGAGGCGCGTCTCGGAGCATGTCGCTTCCACTGGGATCAGCCGTTCTCCCGCCAGCCGCCACATCCAGCAGGCCGCTGACAGCATGTGTCACATCTCTAACACTCGGCAGAAGCGGCGGTGGATCTCGGGGCATATCGCTGCCACTGGGGTCAGTCTTTCCTCCTCCAGCGGCGACATCCAGCAGGCCGCTGACGGCGCGTGTCAAATCTCTGACACTCCCCAGCAGCGGGTCGTCCCAGCGTTCCTCGGCGGCCAGTGGCACTGAACCGCGGCGCACCAGTACGCCCCTATGACCGGGCGTCTGTCGGAAGGAGGCCAGCTCTGCCTCGTGCACCAGTCCGTGGGGAGAAGCGGAGCGGGCTCGACGGGCCCGGCGCACCGCGGTACCCTCAGAGCCTCGCCGCCAGTCGAGACCTTCCATGGAGTAGGAGGCCTCGCTGTCTGTCAGCGAGAGATCCGAGCCGGACAGACGGCCCCAGTGCAGGCCCTAGAACAGCGCGCGGTAAGGAGGGCGGGGTTAGATATGGCCGAGTGATGTCAACGTTACCTCGGTACAGGCAGGCAGGCAGTGGTAGCTATGGTTAGTGAGAGCCCTTATCATACACTGTCGGAGAGTTGTTAGCGACAGAGCCCTGTAATCGGGTGATGTCATGCATTTCTGGCAGTCAGGGTGATTAGTGCCTGCAACAACCGTGCGTGAAAATATACACCAAGTCAGAGATTAAACATGCAGAGTTCAGATCCATTGAGAAGTATCATGCCGCATGGTAGAAGATACATGCTCGGTTTAAATAAACTTAAGACACTTGTGCTTCTCGTGCCACCTTTAGAAGTAACAACATGCCATTCAATTCATGCATCTAAATTGCGGTCCGATATTTATAAAAAACTGTTAAAAATATTCTAAATTAATCAATTAAGTCTGGCATTACGAAAGTTACCAACCAAAACAACGTTCAGAATCCATCCTTGAATTAAGTGTCATCAAAACCAGCTGATCTCCAATTTACTTGAACTAGTCCGATTAAGCCCCCTTATGACTCTCTAAATAACCCCTTATGACCGCGGCATCCACCATCTCCCGGCGGAGCGGCCGACTCCCCAGCGCTCTACTCACGCCCCGCTCCTTGGTCCTGTCTCCGCCGGCGCCGGCAGCAGTGGCGTCCGCCGGCGAGCCGTCCAGTCCGGGGATCTCCTTAGGCGGCGCCGTCATCGTATGCCTCTTGGGGTCCGTGTTACGGGCGGCGTCACGAGCCATGCTGCCGCCACTCGTGTTCAGAGCTGTCAAAGGGAGAAGGAGAAGGCACGGTGAAACGAGATGGCCGGGTGCTATCCTACTCTAACCTCAAACATTTTCTCGAGAGACGGACATAGTGAGCGAAGTAGGTATACCCAGTCCTGGCTTGACATCAAACATCATCCGATTAGATGACATAGAGACGACAGGCCCTGCCCAGCCTGACCTTATAAATTACTTGCAAGACCATCTCCAGCTTGGACCAGTGACTACGACTGGCCACGATCTCAGGACTCGAGATTGGCACCAGCCATAGTGGGGCTCGAGATCATAGTGGGAACAGGACTGACTGCCCAGTGCCCACTCCGCTCTCCCTCCGGCAATTTTCCCTACTCACGGTCCATGCTGCGACTGGAGACGGCGCGGCCGCTGAGCGCTCTCCGGAACTGGGGCGAAGGCCGGTCGGCCTGGGAGGCCTGCATGCGGGTCTGGTACTGGGTACGTCCCGAGTAGCGGAACTTGGATCCGAGCCGCGGCAGGTGGTGGTCCCGCTCCGGCGGCTCCGGAGACATCAGCCTGTCGGCAGAACAGGATAAGAGAGTTCAAATGGTAGCTAAAATAGCTCCAAAGCTCCAAAGCCTGTAGGAGAGCAGGGTGGTTAAGCTCGATTACAGCTCAAAGAACACCTCACACAGCTCCAGAGATATCAGTCTGCGGGCGAGCAGGGTGGCTCAAATAAGTAAACCTCAGTCTCAAAACTCAGCACAGCTCAGTCTCAGTTCAGCTTAGGGAGTAACGCAGTTCCATCGATATCAGCCTGTCCAGAGAGCGTGGCTGAACTTCAGCATAGAGAGCACCGCAGTTCCATCGACATCAGCCTGCAGCGTGGACGCGGCGGCGACTCAGTCAACCCAGCTCAAATCAGTGCCTCAAAGCTAGGAAAATTAGACCGAAAAGCTAAATGTGGCCCAACTAAACTCAGCCAAGGGAGACACCATATGTGTTGCAGTTTTGGACAGCCACAGACTTTTGATAGCAACATTTTGATAGCAAGCCTTTGTCTTTGATAGCAACATTTTGATAGCAAGCCTTTGTCTTTGATAGCAACATTTTGATAGCAAGTTTTTGTCGCCTAAACCACCAAAGAAATTTCGACGAGAACAATCACGTCCCTCACGTTGAAGGGTTTTAACGGCGCTCTTGTGGTAGGTAGACAGCTCTACCGCCAGTGAACGCATAACACTTCGAATCTCAGCTATAGGCGCATAAGACACCATTTAATTGCTCCTCTCAAGGAAATAAATTGGTTAACAACTATTAAATGAACAGTGGCGGTAGTTATGACAGGACCTATAAACTGAGTACAATCGGGGCACTGAACTGTTTACTGCCGACAATAAGTCTACCAAAATGTTTAACTGGTGAATAGCACATACAGCGACTGTTGTAACGTGAATCACGATGCCACAGAGGCCCTGAACTATCGCATGACTCCGATAAACCTGAACAAAGCCCCAAGTTCAACGCAGTAGGGAGCTATCTTATGGGTCGCACTAAGGGAGGGGAGGAGCATGATCCGTTCACCCGATATGATAGATAAGGTATCTCCAACCGGACAAGCCACCCACCAGTGGGACGGATACACCTGAGGCTAGATTATTGAAGTGGCTGACAGCCGCGCACTACGGTGTAGTGTGTATCTTCGTCACTTAAATACCCCTGCACATCAGTTCAAGTGTTGACCAGAGCGATACGCTGTGACTCATACATATCGGCTCGGACGGCTCAGGAAGGCAGCCACCGGACGAGAATACACACAACGCAAACAGAGACTAGCTGATAGAGGCGACAGTGGATTGGAGTCGTCCGACAGGGACAGCGTTCCAATTTCTAACGAGGTGGCGGACAAAGCAGGCACAGACATTCAGGCTAGTAATGGGAGAAAGAGGGAAGAACGGCATACAGCCCACAGTCTTGACTTGCTTGGCATTCGCTACCCGCCTGTCTATGCCGGACAATATACCAAATCGGCCAGGATTACCAATATCTATGCTATCAGCTGTCGACACAATCAACGGTTCTAATATCACACACTACGCGGTCCGCACCACAAAGCCAAGAAGAAGCCATACAATATCGACAATGGAAATCGAACCAGCAAATCCCGTAAATGGTAATCTAGCACCAGTAGCTGATTTACCTGAAGAATGTGTGATTTTCCACGCATGTTTTCCACAGCTTTTTGGCTTTTCTGTGGTTGGTCAGCTTGAAGCCGATGGTAGTCAGGTGACGCTCGAATTCTCCCGGGCGAATCTTCACGAAGAAGTTGTTCCGCTTGTATGAGATCTTGAGGATTTTGGGCCAGGCGAACCGGTTGATCCTCAGTCTGAAATGGGAGCAGGGAGTTAAGGCCTGGCTACACTATGCGTTTTCTGCGTGCGTTTTTGCAGGTTTGCGTGTTTTGCGTAATATCGTTATAGGAAAAAAGTTATAAACAATATAATTTTTACTTTGGTTATATACAAAAGGTAATATAACTCTTATGTAACTAAAATTTAAGGTGAAAAACATCACAAAAACGTAATATCGTTCTTTTTTCTAGAACGATATCACGCAACACACGCAAACACGCAAAAAACGCACGAAGAAAACGCATAGTGTAGCCAGGCCTTTACACGTAAAATAAACTCCAGAGAAGTCGAGCATTGCCCCACAATCGGTCGACCATAAGACGAGTAGATCAATAAATCAACGTCAAGACGTAGCTGCAGGCTACGCTATCAATAACGCAACACCATCAGTGCGATTCGCCGTCGCTGTGCTCCTCGGCACCTACCTCAGCTCGGATAGTAATCTTATCACCTGACAGCGGCCTGTAATTCACCACCTGGCGACGCACCTGTTCCCCGCTATCCAAACACCCTCCCTACCCTAATCACTCCACCTGTTTCCCCGTTCTCCATCCGGTCCCAACGGCCCCTGTCCCCCAATTCAACCCACCTGTCCTCCCCTATCCATATACATTATACCCTGTCCCGAACGAACCACCAGTGATTCGCCGAGCGCCCCGGTCGGTTTCAAACGCTTACTTGTCTCTGTAGACGAGCAGACCCGAGGCGCAGATACCCAGCATGATATCAATACCCTCCGAGTCTTTGGCCGGGTGCAGGTCGACGCCGTACATGGCCAGCTTCTTGGCGTTCTCCAGGTAATGCATCTCGGCCTCGGCAGGAGTCTGGCCCCTGTACAGACGGACAGTTAAGAATCACGGTCAGCAACCGACACAATCTTCCGCACTACGATTAGCCTCGTCCGGGACGAACGAGAGTAAGGCTGCGGTACATCAATGGAGATGGGGCAGTCTTAGTTCGTTGTTTTACTGTACAAATACATATTCGACATTTCACTTACGCATAAATTTAGATGAAAATCAAGAAAGTACAAACTACCAGATTTAATATCTCTCAGATCGTTAGCAACACGCTGCATCAGCTATTCGACGGTCCGACTCATAAGACACTTTTCGCTCCCCTTGTCCACCTCCCCGCCCTGGGCCGCACCTGAGCGTCTTGTGGAGTTGCGCCACCTTCTCCTCGAGCTCCGGGGTCTGGTTGGGCGCCATTTTGAAGCCGGACAGGTAGGTATCGCCGTGCTCGGCCGGGTCGTAGTCGCCCAGCTCCGACTGAACCATGTACGATCCGAGCAGCGCGTGCGTGACGAACGAGCACGGCAGCCTGGCGGGCACGGCGGGTGGTGAGGCACGCGTCACGGACAAACGTCAAACGTCACGGCCGGCAGATGTCTCACTATGAAACGAACATCAAAGTCACAGACAAACGTTACACTCCATAGGACGCGGCGAAGGTCACGGAAAACGTCGTACGTCACAAACACACGTTTACCATCACGATTACTAAAAATACTCCCCAACCACGACACAATAGCATGTCCGTGAGCAAAACACAAAGACTTGCAGCAAAAACTAATCTGTGAGCAAAACATCAAGACTTACAGCAAAAACTAAGTGAATATTGCAACCTGAAAGTGAATGAAAACTACGAGAGAAACGCTGCAATGTCTAGCTACCTTGCATGAAAACCGTAGCCGCACTAACCGGTTCCGCCCCCTCCCCTCTCCCCGCCCCAGCCACTACCATGAAGAGGTGTCTGGTATGCACGGACGTGCGGCCGTGCCCCCAACCCCTCCCCCACTCCAGCACCAGTCCCTTCATCAGCACACCCGCCAGGGCACACGGCCGCGCACTTGGTGGCGTGCAGTGAGGGCAGGCGGGGCTGAGCGAGCACGCTCAGCTGCAGCCGCCGGGATGGCACGTGCCACTACATTACTGAGGTCTGCTGGTGAACTAACTAGATGGAGAACTGCTCACAGCCATACAACTCTGCGGCCTGAGGAATAACCTGAGCGACGGTGTTATTGATCCCTGACTCTACCCGAGGTTGCAAGTTTCGGTGATAACACATTGCCAGCATTTACTAGCGGAAGCAATAGCGATAGTCGGACCCAGCAGTAACCCATAGCAGGCCTCAGTAACGTAACCTGACAAACACCATTGAGCTGGGCACGTGACTCGCGGCTGCAGTGGAGCCAAACATCCGGTGATTATCTCCCCGCCTGGATCCGGGAATCCAGTGGTGTATCGCTCTTACAGCCCGAGAATCTAGTGACACACGACCATCTGGCTTGAGCTGGGAATACGGTGACACATTCCTCTGTCTAGAGCAAGGGATCGAGCGGGCACCGGACATCTCTCTGTCTAGAGCCAGGGATCCAGCGGTCGGCGGACATCTCTCTGTCTAGAGCCAGGGGATCCAGCGGGCGACGGGCGCCTATCTGGTTAGAGCCAGGGATCTAGAGGGCGGCGGACATCTCCCTGTCTAGAGCCGGGGATCCAGCGGATGACGGGCGTCTATCTGGTTAGAGCCAGGGATCCGGCGGTCAGCGGGTATACGTATAAGTATCTGTTTAGAGCCAGGGATCTAGTGGGCGGCGGACATTGCTCTGCCTAAAGCCAGGAGATCCAGCCGGCATCGGACATCTCTGTCTAGAGCCAGGGGATCCAGCAGGCGACGGGCGTCTCTCTGTTTAGAGCCAGCCGTCCTTCACCCAACCACCGTGTCCCGTGCCTCGACGGCCGTAAAATCAGACCAGCCACCCGCAAAACCTGAAAGCCCATTGTCATGGCTCGATAATGCAGACAAAGAGTGTGGCGCGCCACCGTCCGGCCGGCCGGTGACGCTTCACGCTCGATGACAAGGTCGGCTCGCTCCGGGGCGCCGGGGCCAGCCATTGTGTCGGAAGGGAGACCCATGAGTCAGGTAACAACACAGAACTGGGGAGCTGGTTGATAAGGGTCTTATCCAGCCGGGCAGCTTCTAATCCGGCCAACGCGACAATCCGCGTCACAGACACGCAGTCTCGCGTCCTGTGTCAGTCAGCGTTCATGGCGCGCCGGACGGCCTGACACCCGTGTGGAGGGTGCGGTCCGGCGCGGCGGCGGCAGCCATTCAGGCCAGCGGGGATGACGTCACTCTGCCGGGCCCGGGGTGACGTCAGCGCGGCACGGGGAGCGGCGCGGCGCCCCGTCCGCCGGCGACGTAATGGCAGAGAGGCTGCTGAATGAATACAAACACACGGGGTCCCAGGAGCTCCACCCTGGAGTCGGGGATGGTCGGCGACACGCTGCCGTGATTCCAAGAAACGATCTGGAATCGGATCCATGCTCGTAAAGAAGAGTTACCGAGACGGAAGCCATCGGACCCCACATACATCAGAAATAGGCTTCACAAAAAAGTTTGGCGCTTCTTCGATTCAATGCCCAGCTTTGCCAAATCTATCTCATTGATCAAAGTTTATTTGCCTTTGGCTAGCTATAACGTCCCACAAGAGTCTGCCGCCTTCCTTTAGCTGATAAACATGTTCAAGAACACGCGTTTCGTGGCGTACCGAGGAGATGTGTGGGTTCTGAGAAGGAGTTTCAACACTGCACCAGCACGGGGCTACTCCCCACGCGCCTGACCCATCCCTCGGACACTCACTTTCCGGTGACGATGTCGTTCCGGATCTGTAGACAGAGCTGGTAGCGCGTGATGTCCTCGGCCAGCTGACCGGGGTCCATCGGGTAGAACTTGACCGCGAACCGAAACTCCCATGGCTCGTCTGCGAATAAAAAGAGAGGGAATGAGTATTGAGTAAGAATAGCAAAAGGGGACATACGTACAATGGTAAGGAGAGATCACTGGAGCTCGGAACATACAATATAGGAGACGCAACGCTGCAACAGACAGGACTCAGACACAGTATGGGAGGCATAAGGCAGCAAGACACGGTAGACACCATCACACATAGGGTGCCGTTTTATGTAGGCCTGGTAGGCCCAGAGCCCTGCCAACTACTTCGGCATGTTATCATAAGCATTATAGCGTTGCATGGTAAGAATAGGATCAAATCGCAATCCTAAAAATGACCATTAGAGCCCTACCAATATATTCCAGAAAGTGACACCCATGCCTGGTGCCACCACATAACAGTTTACGGAAGACGGCACTGTCGCCGGTAACACACACCCCTGCAGCCCACATCGTGCTCAGCCAGCGTGAAGCGGCCTGGGCTTCTGATAGTCTCTGAGAGCAAATGAGGGAGGACAGGCGACAGGTCGAGATCGATGTGTCTGGGATGGGGAGACGGGCCCGGCTGCCGCAGCCTCTGCCGGCCGAACCAGCATCACAACGGAGACCGCGAGGGGAAGGAAACACTGTCTTAGTGCAAAATATCAAACAGGAGCTCAGAATTCAAAATACCAAAAACGCCAGCCGGCTACTTTCCTAAATATAGCATAAATGAGCCGGGTCCTTATATAAACACATTTCTATTGATTCATTCAAATGCTTCGCTCTTCCACATTTAGTCATTGAGTCGGTCAGGATATGGAGACAGACCTGTGACGGCCGGCGCAGGCAAGCCGCGCTGTGAGACACTGAGGGATGACGGCAGATCTGGGTTACCCGAGCGCCGCAACCATCTCATCTTAATACGGAACGACCGTGAACGCGCCACGCTGAATTACAGATCCGGCATACGGAGCACTGACAAGTTCCAAGGATGGCGGCCGGTGCCAATCAGCGAAAACAGCAGACGGTGTTAAATTCAGGTGATGGATTCAGTTACCATGCCAGCTGTGCCATCAGTAAGCACCTACAGCTGGACAGTTCTGGCACAGCCTGGTAACGGCAGGGCCGGCTGCGGCCGGGAGACGGGTCGGCAAGTGGCAGGGACACTGGCAGGCAGAGGCAGAAACTGCGACACCAAAGCGGAAGGACCAATGGCCGTTGGACGACAGGAACGGCGGCAGAACGAATACTGACCGCAGGCGACACCAACAGGAAGCATGAATGCTAGTTAGCATGACAGTGCTGGTTGATACAGTATGAATTCAGAAAAACACCACTGAGCTGAGGTCTGTGACCTCTGAACACACTAATAGAGCACAGAGCGCCGAGCCAATTACGTGAGCCAGCGACCCGCGAACAGGGCCATCTGTTTCCATTTGGCCAAGTGTCGGAGGTGCGCGATGATGGTCGTGTCAGCCGGAGCGAGCACCGCCAGAACACTCTCGTCTGTCGCCTCTGGTACGTACAATGGAGCCGTCGGAGCCAGCCACCAGTCGGCTGGCAACGGCGGAAGTGACAGAACAATCATCCGTGGTAATATAACATACCACACGGGGCTGGTAAATGGCTTTTTGAGGACACAGCTCGCTGTTGATATTCCGCCGGGGTCGAAAGCCAAGGGTGGAAAAATCAAACAACGGTCAAGATCCTCAAGAAATCATTCCGGCCCAATTGTGGTAAGATGGTAGACGTATGGAATAGCGTTCATTGGCTGGCAGTTTCACGGAAGCTTAACTTCAGCAAGCGCTGTCAAACCCATTCATGTCAATTGGTGGGTACGGCGCAGGAGCCTCCCACCCCAAAATGCCTTGTTGTCGCACGGGCGTGCTACCAGTTGAACGAGAATGTCCCCATCCACCATCCACGACGGCCCGCACCATCCAGAACAAGCGTGGTCCGTCCGCGAGCGGCCAGGCTCCGACGCCAATTGAGTCCACTCAAGTCCGCGGCCAACTTTCCGTGTCACACTCAATCAAAATACCAACGACTCCAAACGAGCTGAACAGCGGTGAACCGGGCGGTCTCTGCCGTCGCAGTGACCCGGGCGGTCTCTGCCGACACCAGCGCTGTCGGCAGACGGCAGAGCAGCGGCGAGCGGACGAGAGCTCCCGGACCAGCCAATACGGTCCGCTCGGCCGCTCCTCTCCGATGACGCGAGCCACGCCGGCAGTGTGTACACGGTGGGAGGGAGGGGAGGGGAGGAGAGGGAGGGGGAGTGGGCGGGGACGTGCCGGTGGCCCGCCGGCCGGCGCTGTGGTGGCGAGAGCCGGCCGGCCGCCCGGCCGCCGTGGGCGGACGAGCGGTCGGTTGCATACCACCACCGATCCGGCCAGACCGGGACGACCGCACACACGGACCGGACTGCTATTTAGCATTTCGGCCCCCAGCAGTCTGCCACCAGCGGGACGTAGTTAGGGGTTTACGTGAAGCGGCACAAAACAAATGTCAGGTGTATGACAGAGTTGATACATGTAGTGATGTAGGTAGTGCACCTCATAAAGATCACTGACCAGTCCTGATTAGTGATGGTCAGCTTGACACTGCTTGTTTCTAGAACAGGATAGTGGGGTCTCGGAGATCCCACCATAGGGTGTGGCAGTTTCAGTCAGTTGGGAAAAGGAAACTCAGAAAGAAGGGAGAAAAATGGACAGTGGTTGGGGAAAAGAGGGAAATACATATTACATGGACCATGGATAGATACAGGGACGGCTGTATGTAGACGGGGAGGGGGAATGGACAGCAGTAGGGGGAAGGGGACGGTAGAAGGGGAGGGGGATGGACGCCGACTGGACGTCGGCCCAGTACTCAGCACAGTGGCGGCCTCGCGGGCCCGGCGGCCTCCGGAAGGGGCCGGCCGACCCCGGACAATGCCAGGAAGTGCGCCGAGACGAGCGGCGAGCGGCACTCTGGCCGCCAGCGGGTCCGGACCGCCGCGCCGCGCCGACACGACACGACACGAGGGCCGGAGCAGGCCTGTACGGAGCGATGATTGGCCAATATGCATCATACATCTACATCTCAGGAGGAACAAGATCGGCAAATTACGCCTCAACTCTCCCCCTCCCCCCCGGGCCGCCTCTTACCACCCAGCAAACACCCGGCACAAAGATCCATCGCAGATCGGCGCGGCATATCGCCGAGGAATTCGTGCAAAGCCTATCAGGCCGTCACTGATATGATGGGCCACAATCGCTGCTATTTGCCGCCTGCGCTGCTTACTGCCGGTCTCTGTCGGCCCAGAGAGCCACCCGGCCAGCTGCGGAGGCTCCCATCGGTGTTACTGCCGGGTCAGTGCGACGGGACAGATTCCCTCCCAGCTCCCGAGCTGCTTTCACAATACGGAAGTCATTTCGGATGAGGCATTCATAGTCCCTGAATTTTCACAGTTCATTCTGTATCAGCCTCATCGTAATTCCGCTTTTCATAGCCTACTTCATACCTCATCGCTTGACCCATTTACAGGCAAGCGACAGCCGCTGGAATACCAAAGCACCCCTCCCCACACGCTCCCCGCCACCTCCTCGTTCCCGCTCACCGAGGGCCAATTCGTGCTTACGCAACGACAGGCCACTCAGCACGCTCCGTTCCGATTGCAAGGAATGAGGATACGTGTGAGCTCCGTATAAATCCAATCCAAGACGTCTGAATCTAAGGCTGGGACCACACTGTTTTTAGGCGGACTTTGCGTACCCGATACCTGGCGACTGCCGGTCCGGTACGGTAACAGAACACCTGGTGACGGACTCCTTACGAGCAGGGTCGCCCTCGGCGGCGCCAGGGCGTGCCGAACTCCGGACCGAGCGGCGCCAGGCCGTGCCCCGTGCCGGATCGATCGAGCGCCGCGCGGCGCCGGACTGGCCGCTGAACAAGTGTGCACTGCTGGCCGCGACTGGCCGCTGAAAAGTGTCTACTGCTGGCCATGGTTGGATGCTGAACAAGTGTCTACCCCTGGCCATGACTGGCCGCTGAACAATTGTGCACCGAACAGCAGTCATGGGTGCCGATGGACAAGTGTGCACTGCTGGGTGCTGGCCATGGCTGAGCACGGAATATTGAACTCTGTTGACCATAGCTGAGCGCTTAACAAGCGTGTGCACTGAAAAGCAGCCAAGGCTAAACACGAAACAGTGGACTTTGTTGGCTATTGCCAACCAGTAACAATGGCTGTATTGTACCGAACTTGTTAGATAAGCAGCGGCAAATACTACCAACGATTGACAATTGACGGAATGACAAGGGTCCCAAACATGAGGTCAGACCGGCGCGGCGATGGAAATAGGTGGACGATGAGGAGCAAAACCTCTTACGATGTCACATAAGTGAACTGGTGCACAAAGTCGTTTGAACTGAGCAGAGTTTTGACAGCAGCCGCCCAGACGTCCAACGGCCGGAAGGTCAGAATTGAATGGTCATTTGCTGCAGACGTCTGGCATTACCCCTCCCCCTCCCCTCCTCAGAGCTGACCGTTGCATGAGCAATGAACATTGTGACTCAACCGGCTGGAGCCACACCAGCGCAGTACTGTTCACTGAAATATGTATGGAGTCGACGGCTCGCGCTGCCGCAGACCGACACAGCTATTACAGCCGCAGACAACAGAAAGACCTTAGAGAGCGGCCAACAGAACACAAAGAACACAAACTACTGACCTCAACACAGTGAACGTGCACCTACGCATTTGCCTCAGCATAGACCACTATGTGTGGCAGAGAGAGAGAGAGAGAGAGAGAGAGAGAGAGAGAGAGAGAGAGAGAGAGAGAGAGAGAGAGAGAGAGAGAGAGAGAGAGAGAGAGAGAGAGAGAGAGAGAGAGAGAGAGAGAGAGAGAGAGAGAGAGAGAGAGAGAGAGAGAGAGAGAGAGAGAGAGAGAGAGAGAGAGAGAGAGAGAGAGAGAGAGAGAGAGAGAGAGAGAGAGAGAGAGAGAGAGAGAGAGAGAGAGAGAGAGAGAGAGAGAGAGAGAGAGAGAGAGAGAGAGAGAGAGAGAGAGAGAGAGAGAGAGAGAGAGAGAGAGAGAGAGAGAGAGAGAGAGAGAGAGAGAGAGAGAGAGAGAGAGAGAGAGAGAGAGAGAGAGAGAGAGAGAGAGAGAGAGAGAGAGAGAGAGAGAGAGAGAGAGAGAGAGGAGAGAGAGAGAGAGAGAGAGAGAGAGAGAGAGAGAGAGAGAGAGAGAGAGAGAGAGAGAGAGAGAGAGAGAGAGAGAGAGAGAGAGAGAGAGAGAGAGAGAGAGAGAGAGAGAGAGAGAGAGAGAGAGAGAGAGAGAGAGAGAGAGAGAGAGAGAGAGAGAGAGAGAGAGAGAGAGAGAGAGAGAGAGAGAGAGAGAGAGAGAGAGAGAGAGAGAGAGAGAGAGAGAGAGAGAGAGAGAGAGAGAGAGAGAGAGAGAGAGAGAGAGAGAGAGAGAGAGAGAGAGAGAGAGAGAGAGAGAGAGAGAGAGAGAGAGAGAGAGAGAGAGAGAGAGAGAGAGAGAGAGAGAGAGAGAGAGAGAGAGAGAGAGAGAGAGAGAGAGAGAGAGAGAGAGAGAGAGAGAGAGAGAGAGAGAGAGAGAGAGAGAGAGAGAGAGAGAGAGAGAGAGAGAGAGAGAGAGAGAGAGAGAGAGAGAGAGAGAGAGAGAGAGAGAGAGAGAGATTTCTATATTTACAGACTCATGGTCCATTAGATGAGACTATACAGCTATAAATGTAGAGTGGCGTGCCACGCTTTCCTCACAGAGGACATATGCACCAAGTCACTATTGTACAATCCCGACACAATTCGATTGTCAGTCTTGTCGAGGCGTGACATGAAGCCAAACACAGCTTTTCTATGCATGACATTAAAGTTATCAATTTGTTCGCTAACAAACATTTGAGAAGCACTGCAAAAACGAGCATAACCAAAAAACATCCTGGCAGCATTGTTGAAACATACAATAAATTTACGGAACACTGATACACGAAAAGAATGCCACAAATGAACCCCATACACATTAGCACAATATGTACGGTACAAGTGCTTTTTGACAGGAAGCGAACACACAGCAAACAAACAAACACAGCAAACAGAACACACAGGCAGAGCTCAGCACAGAGCACAGACAATAAACCATAGCCACAGACAATAGAACTAAGCACATGTCACAGAAAGCTTATCGATACAAAACGTGTAATATCCCATCGCACGTATGTACAGTCAATAAGACAACTGGATCACAGCACGGACCACATAACCCCGCCCACAACCAGGTCACGGCACAGAACAAAGCAGACCGCAGGACGGACCACAGCAGACCACAAAACGGACCGCAGAACGACTACAGAACTAAACGTGGCAAAAGGTGAACCTAGGAAGCGGTCCAGAACCGTATGGATCCACATTGGGTACTTCATAATAAAAATCAGATCCTACTGGGTCCCATCAACTTGTCACTTCATCCGGGACTTACTGCTATATACAGCGAACTATAGCCCTGCCTCCCCTATAACCCTGAACTATAGTGCAGCCAATATCGCACCACACTTAATATGTGTTTGAAAGTTTTGAACTCTTGACATTAGCAGTATGGCTCTCAATCATATCCAGCCATAGCCATCCACTCCAGCTTGCATCAAACTTGGTCAGATGCAAAACTTTTAAAATGATGACTATTGAATTGAACAAAGAAAAGTATGACGTCTATAAAGCCATCCCACACCCGAGGTAGCAACAGCGGCTCACGATAGAAGCCATTGCCTCTGATGTGGCCGTAACCTGGGAGCCTTTGAAGCAGCGGGGGAGTGGAATTTAATCCAGGCGTCCGCCGTGAAGATCGTTTGATCGATGGGGGCGGGCGCCGGCCGGACGATGTTGGTGCCAGGGGAGGGGACCTGCGCGGCGGCACCGAGGCACCGGGGGCACGGTCGCGGTGGCATCAGGCATTATAAACGTGCGCCCTGTACATAAGCCATGATCTTTACCGAATGCCAAAATCAGCCTAAATGATCCATTGACCATAAAGTTGTTAAATCCGGGTTTCAAATGAAAGTAATTATATTTACAAAAAAAAAAAACGGAACAATAAGAACAAAACTTGAATTAAAACATTGCAGCCATTATAAGGCAGTATGTCAGTCACCAAAACCTATCTTTCTCCCTCCCCTTCATCCTATCCCCGGGCTTGTAGAATGCAGATCAAACACCGTCGCCCGGCGGGACGGGCCCCGAGTGCCGGCGGCGGCGGAAGGGTGGCCGGAGGTGCGGCCCGTCGGTCATCAATGGCGCCGGGCTGCCGGCAGGCGGTTGGTCGACCGGCCGCCGCGCGGCCAACGCCCAACGGCCGGCCAGCCCACCGCCAGACGCTCCCCGGCGCCACCGTTACACGCGGACAGATGACTGCTACCTTCATCTGGTAACAACCACGCAGAGTACTTTGACTGTGCTGTATTGTGTTCATGAGGTGAAATAAAACATACAAGATTGTGTTCCAGGAAAGTACAGAGTTGGAAAGAGAGGATGAATTTACGAAAAGCCGTTCGATATAATCCATCATCTAAAAGGCTTTCTTCATAAATGGTCGAAATGCCGGCAATGAACAATACAAGGACAGAATCGAGCAAAGTCCGTCCCTCGAAATTCCCAAGAAATACGTTCTAACTAGCAGGCTCCTAAACCACTCTACCGATCACCAGACCGCTATAGGGCCGCAGGCTGTTTCGACGCCGAACGGAAGCCGGACCGTTGTCAATTAGCCGGTCTGTGGCCGCACTCAGGAACAACCAGGAAGCCCCCCGTTTCTGAGCCGACCGGTCAGGGTCGACACGGCGAGTCAGGACCGGTGGCCGCCGGGCTACTGGGGACGGCAGCGTAGAACGCCACGCATTCGACCGGCTAGACCGCGAGTCGAGTCCGACCGGTCGACGGAAGCGCCGACTGACACAACGGTCCGTCTGCCGCGGGCGCCGCGGCGACCGTCCCATCGCAGCGCTTCCTCGGTCCTCACCCAGCGTCTGCGACTAGCACCGACCGCTGGACGGTTCTTCAGTCACAAGACGCTCCAGCGGAAATACGACAGGTATTCACTTCATAGGCTGACGACACTCTCATACCACAGTCAGGTGATTGACAGCTGAGCTGTCAGGCGATCATGGGGCCACTGGGCTGTCCCGGCTGTCAGAGGACCAGACTCGCGGCCGGCGCGGCGCGGCGGAACGCTCGGAACCAGCGTCCGTCCGTGGGGTGGGACCGCGCCTCAGTCCCAGACGGGCAATCAGTATTCACTGGCACGACCAGTCCCGCCGAGCAAGGTCCTTGGGAAGGACAGGACCGGTTAGTGTAGTGTGACAGACTCAACAAAGGCTAACGGAGGGATTTTCTCACGCCAGTCACGGTAGCCAAAATTGTGGGACGATTACTACCTGTTTACTAAATTGTTGGTCTACCATAAACGTTTCAGACGACAATGGATCTCATAAGATTGTCACTACCTACTACACATGTGCCGAAAACAGCACTCAGTTTTATTTACCTGCGACCGATAAGGCTCGTGATTTCCCACGCCGTGTTGGAGGCGTAGAATACCCGTATTTCCATCGCCCTGCAGAGCTCTTATGTTATAGGCAAACAAATAATCGTACATTTTTACTACCAGAAATTAGCAATTTGATTTGATTCAAAAATATTCGCACTGTATCATAACCCAGATGACATAAATAGCGAAACACGCAGCTTAATTTGACAAAGTACAAACACATCTATGCGGCATGAGCTGTTTCACCCCGTTGACTCACTTTTGAGCTGTTTCTTTATGCTCTTGTCGAGCTGGAGCCAGTTTCTGGGGTCATGCGGGTCCGTGAAGAGGAGGCCAAAGTAGTCCTTCTCCAGGAGCTCCAGGTGGGCGGCCACCTTGTCGAACAGCTCCTGGCCGTTGGCCTTTTTCTGCAACACAACAGACAGGACTGTGATCAGCGGAGCGGGGTCGTGTCGCCACCTTCCACCCAGCCGTGGCAGCGAGAGCAGGCGCAGGGCTCGTGGCGGGCAAGGTCGCGCGTGGAGGTGAACTGTTAAGAATGGGCGACACACTGTCGCTGACGCTGACACCTTCTGAGCCTCCGGTGACAGTAGCCGCCAATGGCAATATTCGACCCAGTACCCAAAGCATCGTCAGAGCGCACAGATGCCCCAGGCGTCGACATTTGGCCAGCGACCTGGAGCTTATAACACCTGGAGGTGATACCTAGCGGTTAATGCGTTTGATAATTTGCTGTTGACAGACTCTCCAAGTGAGTAAACTAGACACAATGCAGAACAGAGGCAAGAAAACTGGCAAATCAATTGCAGGAAGAAACTTGTGAAACGAGAGCAAGCCCGCGAGATGCGGAAAACCAAGACTGGCCAGAGTTGGACCCACGCTCAGAGCTTGGCAGACTGGGAAACGATGACGGAAAATGTCTCTTGAGCATTTCCTCTACTCCCAGTTTTCCTCACTGATTTCGCCGATTGCCTCTGGCAGATTTATCTCAACTACTTCTGAGCCTGAAAGGAAGGTGCGCACTTAAAATTGGAGCGAACGAAACACCGCGGCAGCGCCCCAATTGTAAGTAAAACACTGCAACACTACCTGATGTCAACCACCCAGGAAATTCATGCAGACTCGCAGTGCGCCATTCCCCGCTGCCGGACCTATATAAGCGTAGGGGGCAGGCGACGTTAGGGTTTCCATTGAATTTTCAGATAAGAGGCGCCATCCTAACCCTGTTACATTTGCGAAATACGTTCAGTTTCGTCGAATCTAAAAAATGTATTAATCGTGAATCGTAAATATTATCGATTATGAAAGACGTTATCCCCGCCCAGCCCAGAGTTCGACCTTCCGTGCAGTGAACATTATCAGCTGACCAATCTGGTCCAACCAATATATCAATTGGGAGGGACAAATCACTGTGTAGGGGAGCGGATGACTCACGCGTTCGTAAATAACCGCAATGAAAAGCTGGCTACCTCGTACAAGACGCATGATGGGTGCCCGCTCACGCCAGCCGCAAAACATCCGACAAAAACGAGATTCAATGTATCGGACAGTCGTCGGCTGGCGCCTGGCGGCATCCATCCAGCCTGCTATCCCAGAGCGCCGCCCCGGGCCCGTCGGCGGCCGGCGCCTGCGGGCGGGGCTGGTCGCCGGTGACTCACCGCCTAGACATGGGGCCACCCAGTCGAACGGTACGCGCACGAGCCGAGCCGCTACCGGCGCCGTAATTGTCGCCGTGTAACGCGTAACTCATGGGGCCTGGCGGTGAACGACGGCCCCGCACAGCACCCATCATCGACCAGACAGGAACGGTTCATGTATGAGCCCGGCAAATGTTTGGTTTTCGAGTCTACCTGGACATTTTTACTGGATGCAATTGTAAACCTTACGTCTGCACACCTATTGCGCCCCAGGGTATGGGTCAACAGGTGACCAAGAGGTTCAGAGACTGGCCGTAGACTTACCCCGCGTTCGATGTCTCTCGGACGGCGAAGATTCTACGCCGTCCGGCCAATCACGTTTCATAACCGCAGCCGAGCCCCCGCTGACCTTGGACGGGATTGGCCGGACGGCAAAGAATCTTTGCCGTCCGGGAGACATCGAACGCCGCCTTAGACTGGCCATGTGAGGTCATCAGTTTAACGAATGCTGAACGGATGATGCCTGAGAGGTTGGCAGGTATCCTTCTGGAGTTCGCAGCTCCAGCGCATATCTCTGCCACAGCCCTGCAGTTCTGCTCAGATACAAGTGCAGCATTTCTGGGCAAAATAAGAGTACCTACCCACTAACCAACCACGCAACAGTACAGATTTAAATCCTTTTGAAGTGCTGTAGTCGATCTACAGCAGAAGATCGGGAAAAAACAACAAGCCAGCCTCAGCCAGACTTACCAGCGATTAACCCGAGGGCGGAGCTGATGTGGTTATGACAGAAGTTCTATCACGCTTCCCTGAGCTGCCCGCGCCCTTTACCTCACCGATTCAGTGTGCCGCTCTGCACAAACTCCCGGTCGAGACAGGGCTGCAGCTATTAATCCGCGAGCCAGACATCGACAGCCAGCAATCGGCCACGCGATTTGGAGTCTGAGGCCCATAAGACGCGCAAGCAGCCTGAGGGAAGACCATTAGGCTGCACTGGGTCCTGGGCCATGCCGGTCGCCTCGTAGGCCGAGCTCCGCTGACTGCGACCAAGAGGAGGCTCCGATCGACCTCTCCAGCGCGCGGACAGCCATCCGCCGCTGGACATCGGAGCTGGCCTACGCACGGGCGCAGCGGCAACCTCACAGAGACCTCACTCCGAGCCACGATAAGCTAGACAGGTGGGGCCAGGCCACCCTGTCCCAGCTCCGCACTGGCTACTGACTACTGTCCACTGGTGCGAGCCACAGCTCATCGGCTCGGGGCTTGGTTGCAAACCCGACCCGCCGAGCCTGTGGCGAGGTCGACACAACGCACTATGTGACGTCCCAAGCACATAATGGCAAGAGCTGGCCTCTGGGGGCACTGTCAAGCACAAGGGGAAGTGCTTCTGACCCAGCCCAGCTTCTGGAATGAGTGGGGATAGACTGAGGTGCCAACCGATCCACATCTGGGCCCTGTTGTACCCTAAAGGCAAATATGCAAAAGAGATCAAAGCTTCACAATCATAGTTACTGGAAAAAGGGACTATAACATATTGATATTCCACCTATGGCAATTACCTGGGGTGCGGAGCCGGAGCTGGAGCCGGAGCCGTGAAACAGTATAGCCCGGAGCCGGAACCAGAGCCGTCAAAAAAGACTCCGGCTCCTTTTTTTGACAGTTCAAGGCAGTAAAACATGCAGTATTCAAAATATGAAAATAGCCTTGTTATGCAAACACATAAGCAACGCGCACCACTCCCATAATCTTTTTTCTTCCATCTGTATTTAATTGCATATTGCATAAGGGATGTACTGAGCATTGGAGCCAGAGCCGGAGCTGGGCCATTTTACTCGGAGCCAGAGCCGGAGCCGCCATGGCATTTCACCCGGAGCCGGAAACGGAACCGATTTTTTTTTTCCAGAGCTGGAGCCGGAGCCGTCTGAAATTTCCACGGCTCCGCATTCCTGACAATTACAGACCCCCAATCAGCATCAGCACAAGGAACAAGCAGTGGAAGGATCTCAAATCTCAATCACTACCTAACCAGTTGAGCATTATCATTGAGCCTTCTACTTGCAAACTTTTTAGATAAGTAGTGTGTTAGTAAATACAGAAAGTATAAACAGATACTAGATAGGCAAAAACATCAGGTTACCTTTCTATTGAAATCTTTGTGCAGCTGTCTTATTGCAAAAGTGAGGTTAGAGGTAGGTATGCTATGCCCTGAATGTGACAAACAACAGGCATTTTGAAAATTGTTAGCTCAAGCTATCCTGCCAACCAAAAAGAGGTATTTAAAGTGAAGATTTTATTATGCCACATCCTGGACATGGCCTAGCGTTGCACCAAATCGCAGACTGCTTGCCAAGCAGCTTGACCAGTCTGCTATAGTGTCTTCCTGCATCTCAAGTTGTCTGCTGCAATATCAATATGAGAGAAGTGCTGCAAGCATAGGCGTCGCCAGACATTTTCGGTTGGGGGGGCAAGCCGTTACTCACTCGTTTTACGTATCATTCGACGCGCAATGGTGCGAGGAATCCGATGGTGACAAAGTTTTCCTTCTAGCTATAGCATGTATTTTTTTTACAAAAAAAAATCAAAATTTTGAAATTTCTGGACAAAAACGACCGTTAGAATTACAGTGGCTGCGATTGCCGACGCACTGCAGAGGGCCCCTGTGCAGACTCTCGTCGCTCATGATCATTACCCAGAAGAAGGTGAAAAACGCTCCATTTGAATCGGATCACCTCGCTAAAACCTCCATTCACGCATGCATGCCGAGGTTTTACGTGAAATGCATAGGGCTTATCCCAGCCGCCGATTGTAGCTAAGAATTGGGCATTCGGCGGAGACTGAGAGAGAATGTCGGAAGTGTGAATCGGAAGTACATCATTCATCCTTGCTGCAGTGAGAAGAAGTGTTTTGTTCACTCGAGTGTGAACAAAAAGTTTCTGGTTTTTCGAGTGAAGGGAAGCGCTGCAAACGCGACCAAAAATATTTAACGGAACCAAAAGTTACGCACGGCATAGCGGCAAGGGATCCCTTAGAGATAGGATTGCGACTTCCAGGCCATTTCAGGCCACTGAGGGTCAGTGTGGACTCTCAGAAGCCTGCTTAGGATCCCGGAGATCGGCGTGGGTCACCCCAAATATTTACGTGTATGTGGTGCTTTAGGGCTTTCCGAGCCTAAGGTGGGCCCGGAAAGCCCTTTAGGGCACACGAGCTTTCAGAAGCCAGTGTGGGCGGCGGGCGCTAAGAGACTAGGCCCAGGGTGAGCCTGGAGCCCTCGAACAACAGTGTGAACCGTCGGGGTCTGTGTCGAATCCTTAAGGACCCTACGTTGTTAGGGACATAAGAAACATGTGTTGCGGCTCTCAGAGGGACACGTGAGTTGTGACCCCTCAGATGCCGGGTTGGGGTTTAGTAAAGTCTGTCGCCTCAAAAGTTTGGCTGAACTATCATAGGCCAGTTGAGGTTTTCAGAAATTTTCGAAGGCATCCTCAAAGATTCGTGTGGCCCTTCAGAGGTCTACGTATGTATAATGTCCTCAAAGATCCCTGTATGGGCCCTCTAGAGAACATGGACACCAGTGGGACTCTCAGAGGCCGGTTTGGGCCCTCCGAAAGCTTCTTAGAGCTCAGTGGAGCTCCTTAGGAGCCTGTGTGAAAAGCAGGCTCATGAGCCCTGCGGCACTTGAACGGTACTTGTGCCTGTCGCAGACATTTGACGAGAGTTGAGAAAGGCCCCGAAGATTTCTTGTCACGCTTTGAACGAAAATTATGTGTCAGCACTCCAAAATTTATGAAAATCAGCTACAAAATGTAATACAGAAACAACTAGGAACATGGCATGAATCATGGCATTGACATTTCCGAGTCTGGAGTCGGAGTCTTGAAGATTTTGGCGACAGCGACTCTGACTTTGGTTTGAACTGCACGCTCCAACAGAGTCTGACCTCACAGGCATTCTTAGAAAGGTACCCCCATTTTCCCCGACTCCAAAATCTCATCGGATCTGTATCGATCTCAGGGGGTGCCCAGTCCGAGGTTGGGGGGGCAAGCTGCCCCGATTGCCCCCCCGTGGCGACGCTAATGGCTACAAGGATTCAAAGTTAAGCCACCACACAACAGTTGATAAACCACAAACACACATCACTGCAGTACCTTTGAAGTGCAAACATGGTAGCTAGTAGCCACAACACATTTCAATCTGGGGCATTAGCGTTCATTAGACGCAAGGGAGAGACTCCAAATCTGTCACTCGTGCAGCACTGTCAGTGCCAAGATATGGAAATATTAAATATGAACACAGCACAAAAGCTATCTAAAAATCAAATAAAAACAAAAACGAAGCAGAAACTAGTTACAATGACCAGCAATCATTAAACTCACCTCAACTTGGCATTCCAGGAGAGTGCCATCCAAAAGTGTGACACGGGCAAGACAGCACTTCTTGTACGATTTCCCCTTTTCAGGTGAGCTTTTTTCATTTTCTTTATTTGCCTGGGATGTACCCATGGCGTTTCACTGAAGATCCCAGCCAAATGGCGTAAGGTCGATTCTATTTTATAAAATATCGCTGTCACCCCACGCACACAAATATGCACCGCACAGGACTTGAAATAAATGCGCGATAGTCAGTGAAACTACACCAACACTTCTCAGAGTCGATGAAAAATAATAAATTTATTTGGAAACTCTGTATACTACAAACAAATCAGCGCAACACGACCCGCCCTCTTATGTTCGGTACACCGCGCCATTGTTGCACACTTTCACAACACCGAACCGACCCAAACGATCCAAACAAGCCGAATGCCCTATTCAGCCAATCAGATTTCAGCATGAGGGAAACGCCCGTGCCACTTGCATGCATACTGCTGCCACCTAACGTCGAGATCTACAGCACTAGTACAAAACCGGCCCCCCGAGAGCCGTACATGCGATTATGCCCTTATCAGTTATCACTGACACGGCACCGCGAAATGTTTCCTCCCTCCAGGGCCCTGTATACCGTTTCCTCACCCTGCTGACCACAGTATGTAGAGAACTTTATTTATGGCAATGGGTCCCAAAAAAATTTCGATCGTCTCCAAAAAATTTTGAACTTCGCTGCTAGTCATTTTCGGTCGCCGTAAATTTGCCCATGTCTCTGACCTGCGAAAAAAGCTCGGGTGGCTGTCCCCGCGTCATATGGCTGATTACCAAACCCTTGTTATCGCCCACAAAGCCATTCAGCGCGGCGAACCCGAGGAATTGGCAACCATGTTCGTCACAAACAGCGCTGTCCGGGAGAGACACTCCAGGCAAGACCACCTCTTTCACCTTCCGCGACCACGGCTGGAAACGGGTAGGCGGCGGTTCGGCTATCGAGCCGCTGCTCTACTCAACAGTCTCCCAACTCAGCTGTCGCAGCTGTCTCCCGCCCGCTTTGCCCGATCTGTTAAAGCCGCGATAGTGGACGGGGCATCAACTGATCGTCGCTGACCAACGGGTTGGTGGGTGGGTGAGTTGTACCTGTGGCACTACGAAAGTGTCTCAGTCCGTGCTTTGACGTGAGTGAATGTGTGAATGCTGTGAATGTTTAGATTAGTAACCGCGGATACGGATTCTGAGCAGTAATCGCCACGCACTTTTAGAATGTGGATCGCTCATGATTGTTCAATACAATACAATACAATACAATACAACTGCTGACTTAGACTTAGCTATAAGTGCCGGTTACTGCATCTAGCTTAGCTGATAGGATAATGAGATTCAATTTTCCAATAGCAGGCCGGTTGGCTGGCATGGTTCGTGACTGCAACCAGATAACCTGTGTTCAAAACGGTAACGCTTGGGGAAAGGCCGTAGATCATCACAAACATCAGCCAGCATACTTGTGCTCTCAGTTTTCCAGTGGCGGATCCAGGGGGGGGGGGCAAAATGGGCATTTGCCCCTCCCAAACGGCATAATTTTAACATTACGCCTATGGACGAGGCAAGGAAAGAATCGATAAATTGTTGTGGTTTCCCCCCCCCCAAAAAAAAACTCTGAGCTGGATCCGCCTCTGCAGTTTTCCACTATTCACACGCAAATGTTCGCACAGATACCTAGACACTCCAAGGACACTCCTAGTCGGCATTACAGCCAAATGTTCGACCCTTGTAGTTGTACGTAAGTTCAAACACATTCGACATCCCAGCGCCCGAGCGACAAAGCCGGTCCATTTCAGAGTATACGAGTAGGCATACGTCTGTTCCGCGGGGCACAAACTAATGTTTCCGGCGGCCGCGATATGACTCCCACCTCTGGCTCCGGTGAGCGGCCTCAGTACTCCGAAGCGGGAGTGGCACCCTGAGAGCAACCCAATACGTGCCCGTCCAAACATTACGACCGACCCCGCCCCGCCTGAGCGAGCACGTCCGTAGAATCAGGCTCGACTGCGCAGTGCTTACCCGACCGATAACAAACCGCCAATTAAGTGCTGACGTACACAATGCAAACCGGCCGATTTAGCTGAGAGTTGGCTCAACGTGACCGCCTGAAAATCCAAGTCAAAGGTGGACTGGAAGCCGTCCTCACTCTTCAACAAAAACACCACAAGTGTGAAGGCCGTATTCCCGTGTCGATGTATGTAAACATATATGAGGGATGGCACCATACCGATACAGGGCCCAGTGCCAATCCTCCGGGCTATCACGGTACTAAAACCTAGGCGGACACACTCGTCCCACAGGTGGACCTAAATGCGTCCAACACCGGCACTGCCATCAGTGTGCTAGTTTTCGAACACAACATAGTTCATTCAGTGTACTACTTTGGTAGACAATCTACCCGACGTATAAAAACATTACACTATAAGTATCAAATCCCTATAGAGAGCCACGTCAGCCGTGTTGATAAGCACCTCTGATGCGGTGCTATCGGCTATCCTACCATGACATCACTGATTAGTGTCCGGAAGACAATGGATGATCTGAGCAGGCCTGCCGCCCACAGGAGTCACTGAACACACCGGTATCACGGGCGCCGGCGGCACGGCGGTGGTGTCAGCTCGCACGGAGCATGTGCAGAGTTCAGGCCAGGTACTGTCCCGGCCCGACGCCGGCCGGCCTCGCCCGGCCCACACGCCGCTGGGAACGGCCAGCCGCTTACCCGCTAAAAGGCACGTGCTAATAAACCTACAGACGACCGCCGCCGTGGCGCTCCCCAAGAACAATGACAGAGGCACGTCGCATAGTCCTATGTTCATAACGTAAATAATAAATCTTGTTACCCGTACTCTCATACTAGTAAGAAAAAAGACGAACTAGAAGAATCGGAACCTTACGGTCTAGGGACATTCAAGACTGACGGTTGAGGAATTTATTAAAAGTAGTATCATATTAAAAGGATGAAATATAACCATTTGATTTTTTTAAATTTTTAATTAAAAGGATGAAAAATAACTTCATGGTTGAATGATTTTCAAAGAGACCTTTTCAATAAGTATGAAAGTACGGTTAGCACTATTTATCATTCCTTTCCTAAAATCTCTCAAAACAGTGCTCAAAGCCATGCAAAATCGAACTAGGTTCATATGACTTCAAGGTATCTATCATGATCATAAAGAATATTTCCTTATACATTAATCTCAACACATTTGTTACCTATCTCAAACTAACACAAAAAGTAACCTTTCTGTCAAAACTAACGCTAATAAGGTACATATCAGATTTGCCCAGTGCTCAATACCGGCAAAAAAAAAAAAACAGTAACAAACTGATGGATCTACTACTCCGAAAAAGCTCCTGACTCCTCACCACGATCCAGCCCTGCATCCCTCACGCACCCACACAGCGCGTCGGTAAATCGGCCCAAGTTTCGGTGGGAGGCCGGGTCAGACGGCCGGCGGAGGCTGGTCGACGCAGTCCGACTCGGTGGAGCTGAGGCGCTCCACGGCCGGCCGGCCGGCGCAGCGAATGTGCTCGACCAGCGCGGGCCCGTCGGTGGGCAGCCGAAACAGCCGGCCCGCCACCAGGCCGGCCAGCTCGTCACCGTCCTCACTGCCGCTCAGCGTGGCCGTAAACACACGGCCGTAGTCCAGGCCCAGCTGGCCGTTACGCACAAATCTGAGCATGTTTTCGTACATCTGCGCCATGATCCTATCTGGACGGTCGCTGCCGCCGCCCACGAACAGCAGCTTGGCGTTGCGGAGGAGCTCCAGGGCGAGTAGGTCGGCCGGGCTGGTGTAGGTGTGCATCAGGTTCCGCACCTGCGTACTCCCGGCGTCCAACACCACCACTCCGGCGGCACGCAGACGGGACCGCACCGGGACCAGACTGGCATCGTCGCCACCGCGGTGAAGCAAGAACACGCAGATAGATTCTGTCAAGGGCGGGTAAGCCGGCAGTGGCTGTTTCTGCAGGTCAGCAGGCACAGTCTTTCTGGAGCGGAACCTGTAGCACAGAAATACCACCAGGGATGTGGTTAACACCGCAGCCAGCGCTCCCAGTGTCACGTGCAGCGTGCGGCCGGTGGTCGGGTCGGCCACCACCAGTCCGGCGCTGGGCGCCTCGGGCGCTGTGATGTTGTGCGGCAGGTAGCGCGCCTGGCAGCTGCCGCCGGGACCGCACGAAGTGTTGATAGGCCGCACCTCGATTCGGTACGGGCCGGGCGACAGGCCGCCGTCTCGACCAAACACCAGCGACCTGTTGCCCGGAAATTCGACGACGCCCGAATTGACGTAACGCTCGATGGGGGCCACCTGGTAAAGCATCACACGCAGTACAGGCAGGTAGAAGTCGTGCTCTGACGACGGGTCCATTTGCTTTGTGATCTCCACGCTCAGCTGGGTACCGGCCACCTGTTGCGCTGATATGGTTACGTTCCATAGCGTGTAGTTGATACCATCTACCCAGAGTTGGTCGACAGGGCTGCTATAGCAGGGTCCACCTGATTTGGTACAGCAGCGCACCTGGTAGCAGCCGGCCAGGTGCACAGTGTGGTAATCCTCCAGCTGGTTACCGAATTCAGGTGTGCTGCCCAGCCCATTGACAATATCCCATCCGTCACTGTGGTTGCACTGGACGTCGCGAGGGCGGGCCTGGTATCGAAGCTGCAAATGGCGCTCAGGATAACTGCCATTAGTGTACGGCTCCAGCTCAGCCCTCAGCAGCAGCGTTTGCCCACTGGAACTCGTGTTGTTCAGCTGGATCGCTGGCTTGCAGCGTGGCTCTTCTGATGTGACAGCTGTTGTCAAAGACAGCATGATGACCACGAGCCACATGGTAGTCGGCAGGAGTGAATTGTGAAGCAGCAGCATCATACCTGAAGAGAAAGAGCAGCTTTAAACTTGAAGCACTCACTACATGGTTACACTAGCCTTTGTCCCACCCTAAGAACTTGCAGGGATTTGAAAAAGCATATAAGGAAAGAACACATAGCCTGGAAACGTGATAAAAGACCTGAACCTTTATAACATTTTTTACAATCTCATAAAACACTAGCAAGCCCATTGCCAACAAACATGGTACATTGAATATTGGAATTGCTTGTGTTGGGTTTTATTTGGTTACCTAACTCAAGGTTATGTTTGGTTAGGTATGTTCAGATAAGGTTCAGATAAGTTAGGTAAGGTTAGTTGGTATAGGTGAGGCTAGCATCACCAACAGTGCATATTCTATAGCAGGCAAGAAACTGCAACATAGGTTGGGTTGTATGTTGAAGGTTGTAGCCTGTAGGGTAACTACCTTTGACTGGTAAAAGTATAGGTACATTGAGTCCGAGTGGCTGTTAAAAGATAAAGTTTTCATATTCTTACATTATTTGACATCCTGAATCCAAAAATGATACTTATATGTCCTGGAAATAAAAGAAAAAACATAATCAAACCTGACCTAACCTTATCTATTTACCTACAACCTACCATCCTACAACCTACAAACCTACAACCTAACCTAACCTAACCTACAAACCTAAAACCTACAAACCTACAACCTAACCTAACCTAAAGCCTAATTTTTTTTTGCTGTTACATATTTGTATCAACAGCGTCACAATTGTCCACTCGGACCTAATATATACTAATACCCCTTTGACCTAGGTTATGCTAGGTTATGTTGGGTTTGCTATAGGTACCAACAGTGAATGGTGATGCCAGCTTGTTTGTTCAGAGGGGTGTTCACGGGCACCGCAAACTGCTGAGTGCGGTGTGTACAGTGTGTGCAGCAGGCGTGGGGGTAGGAGATGGGTAGGCGGCTCTGACGTCACGGCTGTGTGCGGTGGACAGTCTGCTGTGGCCAGTCCCGACCGGCCACAGCAGTCGCTGTGTGCGGTGACGGAAGGCTGACGTAGGGACACAGTGTGCGGAGCTTGGAGGCTGTGTGCGGTCCGAACACACACAGTCCACAGTGACAGGGCCCGTGAACAGCCCTCGGGTAAGAACGAAAATCATCCAAATGATATCATATGCCCAAAAAAGCAACAAAAAAAGAAACATTCATTAATGAAAATGATTATATAACAGAATTGATAGTTGAAATAAAACTAGTAACTGCAAATAGGTATTCCTTACCATATAATCGAATTGAACACACCTTTCACCCATGGCTGAGCTGGAACATTGCTGATATTTGGGGGACGCTAATATCTTGAATCACATTTCAATAGTCTTCTGATCAATTTCCAATCGTTCTACGCAAGTTCTAAGCACGGTGTCTCCTAAGCTAAGATCGACAACAGCATAAAAAACAAAAACATAAAACTCCGAGATACGATCGCGGCAATCGTGGTGCGTTATATTTGCATTTGTCTAGTCTGCGCCATGTATGTAGATATTTGGCAGATGGCAGCACTTCAAAGAACGAGGCCACTAATTCAACTTTTTGTACGTTGCTTACATACACACCAAGGCTATATAAACCATGCATACCATACCAGTTCTCTTGCTATATACGTGCTATATAATATACCATGGTGCGTACCAGGGTGCGTACGGTGGCGCCTGAAAGTAATCTTCACCATGCACTGCCGACTCTGCCCTGGCACCATGCACTGCCCTGGCAGTTGGCACTGCCGTAATCGCACTCGGCACTGTTGGACAGAAATCGAGTTACTTCTACGGTGGTCGGTGGCAACACCGCTACGGCGAGTCACCGAGTCACCTGGGGCTGGGGCTGGGGCTGGGGTCGGGGGGGGGGGGGGGGGGGGGGGGGGGCTGGGACTCCAGGGCGGTGTTTCACGGGCTGCTGCTGCCTGCTACCACGCTGCTATCAAATTGCGCGAGCTGACGTCACACTTGTGGTAGTGTTGGAGCAATGGGCCTGTTGATGTCTCCATGGAAACCCAATTTGACAAGTCGTAAAATCGGCGTGCTGCTATCACCGGTGAAACAGGGCCCAGCCGAACGCGCGGGGCTGGGTGTGTGTGTGTGTGTAAATTTTACCTCCCCCCCCCTGTTATCTCCCGAACTAATAGTCCGATTAGGAAAATTCAAACGCCAATCGAAAGATCTCATCACGAACAACTAAAACATGTACTTAATTTAAAGTTTGAGGTCAAGGTCAAGGTCAGGTCAAGGGTACAAATTGCAAGTTCCTTCAGTATCGGCCTTGCACCGTAGTTGCCGAAGAATGGAGTCATGGACTGAGACTGATTGCCCAAAACGTGTTCTTAGGCTACCAAGACAATATTCGTTGCATACAATATCATTCAGAGGTCAAGGTCAAGGTCAGGTCAGGTCAGGTCAGGTCACCAAAAACAAAATATAGAAAAGGGCACGTGCGACAAATGTGTTGTGGGTCATTTTACTCATAGAATTCAATAGGCACACTCAATAAGTGTCAGGTCAAGGTCAGGTCAGGTGAGGTCAAATTTTGAAGTTGGTTGTTAAGGCCTAAAAAGGTGTCTATCTGATGCAGTTTTTCACGGCGAATCGAATGGTGCTATTTTTGTTTCCGTACAAGGTCTAGAACTTAAAAAAAATCATTTTTCAATTTTTGTGTGTCGTGAGTCGTGACGTCATAAAATGTTTAATAACTCCCACATTTTTGAACCGATTCTTCTAAAAATTGGTATGTAGGTGCACATAGACCACTCCTCTGACATATATTCCGATTTTTTCGATACACTCAAAATTTTGGATTTTATAATTATTTTCCCAAAAAAGTCTGTTTTTTGAAAACATTTGGGCCAAAATTCAAAATTTTCAAAAAACCGAGATAGCCATTTGATAGACAAAGTAGAATTACGTATAACCTTTTTTGTTACGTCTTGATTCCTTTAAAAATGAAGATGTTAGCGGCGTTTGAAATTTTGCCGTTTTTAAGGCGAAAATGGCGAACATGACGTCACTAAAACGTCAATTTCTCAAAAAATTTCCGACGGATTTCGCTCAAATTTTCAGGGAACGTGTCAAATTGATGTAAGAAAAGGCACTGAAAGTTTACGTTCATAAAGTTGGCTTCAAATTCGGATTCGGATTCCAGCACCACATTCGTGGAAAAAATGACAAAAACGGACCCCTCAGAATCGATTTAAATTCACAGGATAGATAGAGCAGGACATGCTTATTATGAAAATAAATCACCTAGGCTTGGCACCCCCTAAGAACTGAGGAATCTTAGGTCAAAGTTCAAGGTCATTCTCGGCGGACCCTTTGGATTCTCGTAAAAATTGGTACAACTATAGTCCATGAAGAGCTGATTTCAAAAATATCAGTATCTTACTTTGGCAAGCAGCACGAACTGATATATAGTAGGTCAAAGGTCAGAATCAAGGTCACGTATGTGTAATACAGGAAGTGGAAGTGACCACGTGGTCAGGTGAGAAAGGAGGACCCCTTAGATTTCAATAATTTTATGCTCAATGATGCAACCAATGTTGGAGATGCTACTGCTGGTTTTTCTTGTTTTGGCAAGGTCAAACTACGGATAAATGACTGGTCAAAGGTCAAGGTCATTTTTAGCGGACCCTTTCGATTCACATATAAATTTTTATCACAATACAATTTTTAATTCTGGTTATTATTCTGCGTATTGTTAGGCTTGGCAGGTCTTAAATTATTTTAAAATATTTAAATAATTTAACCTTTAATTCACCTATCCCAACATGGCTACCGTGCGAGCACCTATCAAAACCTTGATGAAAATAACAAACCGAAAATCTGAGAAACGCGATTTGACCTTGGACGTGCCCCGTGCCAGTGCACTGGCCTTAGGGGTGCTGAAGAACTTGATTTGGTAGGTATAGTGTGTTTTGGTGTGGGTTAATGTAATTTTAATGTATTGCACGTTGCCTGATTTGCGACACAACTTACAAAATTGAAATAGCAGTCGTAAGTAGTGTCAGTGTCGCAAGTTGACCTTGCCTTGGGGTATACCGAATAGGTCACAGGTCATTCGGGTCATTGCCTCGAAATTTACGTGGTACGTGTAAAATTGTTTGAACTTGAGATCCTGAAAATTTTGTTGCAATCCATTGATGCTAATGCAAGTTATAGAGCTTGAACTGACAGGTCGTTTATGAGGCCTCCATCCATGCCAGCGAGGCAGCAAGAGTGTTGAAAATGGTCCATAATATGCTATTTCACATTTATTGGGGTATTCAGGAATTGGAAGTAGCCTAACACCATTCCAGCAACTACTGGCGAATCCAGAAAGGCGGTCTTGGACGCTGCAAGGGTCATCCCCCCAAAAAAATTCTCCCGATTCCAAAAACGTGTCCCAGATGACCCCCACGACCTCCAACGAGCTCTGCGATGACCCCAAGTTGACCTTTTTGACCTGATGTGTCCCAGATGACCTCTGTGACCTCCAGTTTAGCTCTGATAACTCTAAGCTGACCTCTGTGACCTGGCATGTCCCAGATGACCTCCATTTGAGCTCTGTGATGACCCCAACTTGACCTCTGGGACCTCACGTGTCCCATATGACCTCTGTAACCTCTAAGTGATCTCTCTGATGACCCTAAGCTGAACTCTGTGACCTGACATGTCCCAGAAGACCCCCAGTTGAGCTCTGTGATGACCATAAGTTGACCTCTGTGACCTGACGTGCCTCCAAGTTGCCCTTTGTGACCGACGTGTCTCAGCTGCATCAGTGGTCTCCAATTGAGCTCTGTGATGACCCCAAGTTGACATCTGTGACCTGACGTGTCTTATATGACCTCCAATTGAGGTCTCTGATAACCCCAAGCTGACCTCTGTGACCTGACATGTCCCATATGACCTCTGTGACCTCTAAGTGACCTCCCTCAAGACCCCAAGTTGACCTGTGTGACATGACGTGTCCCCTATGACCTCTGCGACCTCTAAGTGATCTCTCTGATTACCCCAAGCTAACCTCTGTGACCTGACGTGTCCAAGATGACCCCCATGACCTTCAATCGAGCTCTGTGATGACCCAGGTTGACCTCTGTGACTTGACATGTCCCAGATGACCTCCGTAACCTCCAATTGGGCTCTTTGATGACCCCAAGCTGACCTCTGTGACCTGACGTGTCCCAGATGACCCTCAATTGAGCTCTGTGATGACCCCAAGTTGACCTCTTTGACTTGACGTGTCCCATATGACCTCTGTGACATCAAGTGACCTCTCTGATGACTCCAAGCTGATCTCTGTGACCTGACATGTCCCAGATGACCTCAAATTGAGCTCACTGATAACCCCAAGCTGACCTCTGTGACCTGACATGTCCCATATGACCTATGTGACCTCTAAGTGACCTCCCTCATGACCCCAAGTTGACCTGTGTGACCTGACGTGTCCCAGATGACCTCCGTGACTCCAATTGAGCTCTGATGACTCCAAGCTGACCTCTGTGACCTGATATGTCCCAGGTGACCTCCAATTGAGCTCACTGATGACCCCCAAGTTGACCTCTGTGACCTGACGTGTCCCATATGACCTCTGCGACCTCTAAGTGACCTGACGTGTCCCATATGACCTCTGCGACCTCTAAGTGACCTCTCTGATGACCTAAAGCTGACCTCTGTGACCTGACATGTCCCAGATGACCTCCGTGACCTCCAATTGAGCTCTGTGATGACCCCAAGTTGACCTCTTTGACTTGACGTGTCCCATATGACTTCTGTGACATCAAGTGACCTCTCTGATGACTCCAAGCTGATCTCTGTGACCTGACATGTCCCAGATGACCTCCAATTGAGCTCTCTGATAACCCCAAGCTGACCTCTGTGACCTGACATGTCCCATATGACCTCTGTGACCTCTAAGTGACCTCCCTCATGACCCCAAGTTGACCTGTGTGACCTGACGTGTCCCAGATGACCTCCGTGACCTCCAATTGAGCTCTGATGACTCCAAGCTGACCTCTGTGACCTGATATGTCCCAGATGACCTCCAATTGAGCTCACTGATGACCCCCAAGTTGACCTCTGTGACCTGACGTGTCCCATATGACCTCTGCGACCTCTAAGTGACCTCTCTGATGACCTTAAGCTGACCTCTGTGACCTGACGTGTCCCAGATGACCTCCGCGACCTCCAATTGAGCTTTGATGACTCCAAGCTGACCTCTGTGACCTGATATGTCCCACATGACCTCCAATTGAGCTATTTGATGATCCTAAGCTGACCTCTGTGACCTGACGTGTCCCAAATGACCCTCAGTTGAGCTCTGTGATGACCCCAAGTTGACCTCTGTGACTTGACGTGTCCCATATGACCTCTGTGACATCAAGTGACCTCTCTGATGGCTCCAAGCTGATCTCTGTGACCTGACATGTCCCAGATGACCTCCAATTGAGCTCTCTGATAGCCCCAAGCTGACCTCTGTGACCTGACATGTCCCATATGAC